GAGAAGTTTCCTTTAAGAAAAACTCTTTTTTTTAGATATATCTTGATAGATGCACTTTGAATGAATGTGACAAGTGTCTGACAAGACGCAGACAATCAAAATGACAGTTGGTCTCTTCTTAATAGATTACTAACCTGCGCCAGAGCTATCATACATTGTTTTTGCTATCCGAGTTACGTATCTTTCCAGAAGTCTCTTTCTAACTGAACACACCTGCATTCTTATTTTTTTTTATTGGTATTCACAAAAAGTGTCTGATTCGTCTTCCTTTATGTGTACCTCAACACAGATGTGATGATGTCTTTTGGGCTTTCTGTGCTTTGGTTTTTTCCCGAATAGACAGATTCTAATGCATTTTGGCTTTATTCTATTTTTGCCATGGTGACCTTTTGTTGAGTGAATGCTGAGCCTGAAGGAGATCTTTGTGAACGACAGCTTAGCAACATTTGGGAAACGTACATAAAAATTGAGGGACCAACTAGTAGTCACGCTGATGAGAGAATGAGAACCTTAACTTATTTTTAGATTGTTAGTCGTGACGGGAAAGTAGGAAAAATACTTTCCATAGTATCACCAACAATTTATCAGTTGACACTTGTTTGATATCTCTTACAGAAATTGAGATAATTGAGCTCAAAGAACAATTTTCTATTAGAATGCTTACCTTAACCGTTTGTTAGAGGTACCTAGTGCAAGCGCACTGTCCATCAAAATAGTGAAACTCTCGAAAATGTATTTGCTCAGACAGAATACATTAATGAATTATACAGAGATCCCCCCCCCCCCCCCCCCCAAAAAATAAATGAATGCAACAACTCTCCATTTGTGCCCGGAAATGTTTTCACTTCTCCACACCTAATTGACCTGATTATGTTTAGCTCAAGATCTCTTTTTTCCAGTATTATACGTTTTTCCATATTCTGACATCATCTTTCGGTCACTAGACGTTCAGCTTTATTTCTGGGGTCGTTTTGTATTCATGGAACGTTTTTTGAAACCAAACCAAAACCTAATTGTGAAAACGTACTCTTGTGGAAATGAATGTGTTCTATTCCGGAACACAGGTATTTCTTTCTTGTTTTTTCCTGTGTTAGAAGAAAATCAATTTTCACTACATTTTATTGGTGTTTCGTTTCGAGAAAAAAAGAGATCAAAACAAGAATGAACGGGCGAGTTAAAGTCTTCTTCCACACAAATTTTCAATTTTCATCTTCCCATTCCTTTTCAGACATAAACGTGTTTTTCCTCCATTTTTCATCGGACCAATTGGACCCCTTTTTAAAGAGGGACGTGTTTGAGTAATTGACTCAATTACTCATGTCCTCATGAAAAAAAGGGTCCAGTCGATTGAGTGGGAGGAGGCAACAGAATGAAAAAAGTTGATTCACTTTCTATAGCTTCCCCTTTTCTGAATACTACAATGTCATTGGCACATTTGTCTTTATAATTATTTTTCTCCGAGCGATTCATTGTTTTCTTCTATTCTTTCTATGTCATTTGCATATTTTTCTGTTCTTCTTCAGCCATTATTCTTCTCCTTCTTCTGATTCTGACTTTCTTATTACCCTAACATCCGTAACGTCATCATTGTTATTGTAACTCGTTTTTTTAAGATTTTGAAAATAGGAACAAGTTTGAGTTCAACTTCAATGACCATCCTAATTAAGATTCAAAGAGCACATTTCGAGAAGGCTCTAGGCTATTTTTTTTTCTTCTAAATACAAAGAAAATGATTAGAAATGCAGTATAAGTCAACAAAAACCATCCGAGAAGATGTTTTGTACTTTGAAACAAGTTCTTTGGAAGCGTTCTGAAAAAAGTAGCATTCAAAATTTGTTGTTGTCTTACTGTAATAGAAGAACATCTAACTTTTAACTTCGGGCCAATTTATGTCGATTCCCTGTGAAAGATATGAAAACGTTGTCAACTGATAAATGGTTTATAATAATATCACAAATATTCGATTAGTTGACAAATTTCTGATACAGGGTGGAGCAAAAGTTTGGCAACAAAGTTTGACATAAGCTGGTGCGCGGCAGCATAATTTTCAGGTCTTGATTTGATGTTTATAATACTCCTCGTCTCTTAATTGGTAGATATGCAAAATTTCATGTCTTTATCTCAATTTTTACGAAGATTGCATTACTTTCTGTACGCCATCTTTGATGTTTTTCCTGAACGTCTGGCACGCGCTTGACCACCGCGTTCATTGATAAGACACTATTCAGCTCAGAGGCAAAACTCAATCCTAAAAATTGTCAAGTATAGGAAAAATGTCCTTGGCTATCTAACAGTAATAGTATGTTGATTCTCTGGGCAGCCAATCTTTTGCAAACCATGCGTTTTGAAGGAATCACTTCAAATGGGGAAAAATCACTGTTTTTAGTGGAGCCAGGTCTGCAAGTGTACCAAGAATACTACTTTTAGTAAAAATCATACTGCCTGTATCATAATCTAACTTTTAATAGCAAATTTAGACATCCCAAAGATATATAGCGCCTGCTCAGACTGCAAAACATGTTTAGCAGGAGTACCAAGCCAATTTCTCCAATTTGATCCCCGAGAAAAAAGTGAATAGGACTTATTTTTAGAATTTCGTATTTCTTCTAATTACAGTCTCATTTTAGGACTTTAGTTTTTGGCTACAGCTAGAATATCCCTAATTCCAAATTTTGGTTTGACAAAACAGAAGCTTATAACTGAACAAAAAGTCCTTGTGTCCTTTTGACGTAACATGAAATTTTGCTAAAAGTCTGAAACCTTCCAACTGAAACTATTTTGCATAATTTGTCTCCTATTTTTTTGTGACTCGAGAAATGTGATTCTGCGGCGTATAAAAACAGGAAACCACACTCTCCAATTCTCATTCCAAGTGTTGTACATTCAGAGAAGCGTTTAATCCGAATAAGGACCCATTTGTTTTTTTCTTCTTACTTGTTCGCTAACTGACCGGATATCTCTTCGGATATCGTCACTTACATATATCCTCCCTCATTTTACATTTTTTCTATTTCCGGAAAAGAAGAAGAAGTTCATATCTCTTTTCCCCCCTTTTCCGCATGTCAGACGGATCACCTCCAAATTGAATTTCTAGTAGTCTCAGAGGAAAACAAAACACAAACCTTTAATGGATGTGTATTAAAAACAAAAAGTTCGGAACCTATATCGAAACAACAATTAGGTGTTGTACTTGGTCGAGACAAAAGGGATAAACTAGTGGAAGAGTAGACAACAAAGTTCTGTCTAGAAGGATGCCACGTGGCGGAAGTGTATACATCACTGCACAAAAAACCCATTGAGAAAAGAATAAGCGGTTTCTGGAAGAACCTCCACTTCTTGCTTTTTTTTGCAAACACATTCATACCAAATTTTTGTGCATAACAGATTTTGGAAAAAAAAGTTTTTGAACAGATAAAAAATCTTATGACGTGGCAAGGGAATTGGAGAACAATGTGGGACCTGCAATTGTGATTTCTGACGCATGCAACATGATGATCATAAAATTTTAATAGGCATTCGAACAGCGACAAAGTGTAGGAGAAAGAAGACATTTTAGGCTCTCAATTTTGTTCGCTCACATAAAACTGAACTTTTAGCTCCTTTGTGGAATTTTCAACTTCAATAAACCTTGTAATAAAATACCGTAAAACCTGTAATAGAAAGGCCCCCTTACTGACAAGTTTGAGCTAAATGATCTAAATTTCTACGCATGATATCAAAAATGGGTCAACTGACAAAACACTTCTGATATTATGATAAACAGTTTATCTGTTGAAACTATTCAAAATCTTTGACAGGATCCAAAAAATCGCCTCAAAGTCAAAGTTCGGGACCGTACAGGTCTGACGGTTTTTTTGAGGAATTTTCAATTCAATCAAGCCAACAACCTCAAACTAACCTTGAAATGAAATAACTAAATTCGAAGCACACCTTTGGATCTTTCCAGAAAAACTTCCAATCATATGTTTTTCTGGCGAATCACAACAATTTTTTATTCCTTCAATCACATTATCCCCCCAAATCCTTCACTTTAAGAAGAGTGCTGGTTTAGTTTTAGCCTACTCCATTTTATTGCTTTTTGTAAGCTTATCCCACTGAATCCTAGATTTTAGATTCTTCACAAAGCGTGGGGTTGTGTTCCACGAAATGATCCGTTGAAAATCTTTAGACCTTTTGGCCAGTTTGATCGCTCCAAAAATTATGATTTTTTTGACTTCGATAGGTGGAATTATGTGATGGCACACTGAATTGACGCAGAAATCGTTTTGTTTTTTTTTCAGCTTGTTTTGACTCGATTTCCAGCTTTGCAATTCTAATTTTCTAGTTGTTTATCTGAAGCTTTGATTGTTGGATGATCCTCTTCTTGGAATTAATTTTGGGACAGTTTTGACACTTCTCGCGTGTTTAGGATAGATGGGGAGATGGGAACGGGTTAATTTGACACCCGTCTGAAAATCCATGAATCATTTCAAATCGACTTCCGGGTTAAAGCTATAAACGGGGATATGACTTGAGGACCTAGAAACTGCAAGTGGCCCTTAAAAAGATAATTCCAGAGATCTCTGGTGAAACTTAATAGAAAGTACATGTTATGGACCAACCCGTCAGACAATTTTGACATGTTATTGTCTCGTCTTTCAATTTTTGCTGTCAGGGACCTTCTTTTTTTCATCTCTCAAAGTCCCCAAATGACGAAACAAAATAGGGCCTGTTCCAATTCCCAAAGTCACCAAAAAATCTCTTACTTTTTGCTTTTTTTCTTCCAAACCAATCCTCTAAAGGAATGCCGTCCGTGTCTCCTTTTCGTGTCTTTTCCGCCCCCCCCCCCCCCGTATGTCAGGCGCGGCTTTTCTTCTTCTTCTTCTTGTGCTTCTTCTTCCTATTTTCTGATTCTCTCCGTCTTACACACTATTTCTACCTTGTTTTCAGAAAAGAGTGTTTTATCAGCGGAGTACGCAGCGTGGCGGTCTTCTGCAGGGCTCCGCCCATTTTTCGACAACATGTCATCGGCGGCTCAACTACTGCTGGATTCGGCGGTGCGAGACGACGACGATCCACTTCTTTATCATCTGAATGCCAGTCTTCTTGAAGCGGCGAAAGATGGAGTCAACACTTCACTGAAGGATATTCTATCTGAAGTCCAGGCGCATAATTTATTCAACGACACTTTCTACGGACCCGGTGGAGCCATGGAGTCTACACCCGGAAGGTATGGATTTGAGTTTTTAGGAACCTGAGAATTTGAATAATAGCTTTTATAATAGATCAAAAAATTGATATTGTCGGGAATTGATTCCGAGATGAAGATGGGTTCCAAAAGTTTTCTTGTTGCACACACAGTCTAATAAATAGAGCGCCCCTCTAGCCTTCAACTCTGAGCCAATTTATATCGGTTCCTTCAAAAGATATATAAAAAGTGGTCAACTGACAAAAAATTTTTAATAATGCGAAGAACATTTAGTCAGTTGACTACTTTTTGATACATCCTACAGGAAAGGAGATATATGAGCTGAAAGTTGACGGTATGGGGTCGTTCAATTAGAGTGTTGACGGTGCTTTATACAGATTTCAACTGGAGCAAGGCATCTCTTTTATGCCTGAAAAAGTGAAACTTCCTTTTCTTTCAACCTAGACTCCGAAGTGTTCACAAACCAGTGTTCGTCTCTGATTTCTTCTCACTTCTCACCTAGAAAAATTGTTCTGTGTATTCTGAATGTTTTGACTTTTCTCCTCTAGAAAAAAAAATTTGTAATTACTCGGGTGAGAAAAAAAACAAGGAAAAAACTGAGCGGAAAGCCATATTCAGAAATCAAAGGAACTGATCAAAGACTTGTGAACTAATAGAACATGGAACTAAGGATTAGGGGTTCCATTAGCCTTGGTAGACTTAGGTTTAGATTTTTAGAGTTCCAGGAATCAGCTGCATGTGTTCAGCCCGTTTTCTTTTCTTTACATTTTAATTATTCTTGGGATCCTCTTTTTCGAAGAATGAAACGAGAAATGAAAAATAAGGAAAAGCTAAACAATTTTTGTTATTCTTCCATATTTCACATTACAACACATTTTGCTCGCCACCAGGGAAAAATAGAGAATCCGGAAGGACAAAAAAAAACATAAATCAAAATGGAAGAGCAAAACGAAACCATGCTTCGTGGTGCTGAGAAGGAGGGTTCAAAATTTTGTATATTTTCAGATCACTCATCCAAAACCTCTACTATTTCTACATGCCGTTTTGTGTTTTCGTCGGGCTCACTGGCAATACGATGGTTTGGATTTTGATCAGGTTGGGCTTTTATTTCGAATTAGAAAGGAAGTTTCATATTTATTGACACTGCGGAAGGAAGAAGGAGAAGAAGAAGCTCAGCCAGTTACCAGTTGGCACGCAACACAGAAATGTGTGGAAAATTTTAATTAGTTAGGACAGCAGAGAGAAGAAGAAGAAGTCCATTTCCGTTTTTCTCATTTCTTTTCAAGCGGAATGAGCATTATTTTCAGAAAATGAGGGTTAGAGAATATTCTTAGAAATTCCGAGAATCGTACCGGCTTTAATTTTAGACATAAGCTGGCATGTAACTTTTCGAACTTTTCAGAGAAAAACAAAATGCTAATGAGAATCTGGATTTGGTTATTTATAGAAAACGGGAGCCAGCAGGATCTTCTGAACATTCTCAGAATTACAATCAGTCAGAAAATTCTCACTGTTATTACCGTAAAACCTGTAATAAAAGGACCACCACACTGTCAAGTTTGAGCTAATTTTTCTTGGCTCCTATGCATGGTATCAAAAATGCATCAACTGATAAAATGTTTGTGATATTATGACAAACAATTTATCAGTTGACACCTTTTTCTGTATTTTTCATAGGAACCGAGATATATTGACTCAAAGTTAAAAGTTAGGGGGCTCTTCTAATACAGGTTTTACGGTATGATTTTAACCAGTGAGCTTCAGCAGTTACGTTCGGAACGGGATTCGGAACTCTGGAAATTCCGAAAAACAATTCCGGTTATTTTTAGTATTTTTTTGCATCTCCTAAATTTTGGAACTTGGAAGTATTCCGAAGATCCGAAAATACCGAAAAGGATAATCTGAACATCCCTATTGAGCATTTTAAACTTGACAATATTCAAAAAGTGCACATCCCAATTTTCCATATTTTTGAGTCACCTTCTCTCTCTCTCTCTCGACACTATGACGTTTAGTTTTGAACTTGGAAAATTGAGTTTCGCGCTGAACTAACTTTTTTATTTTTCTTTTAAAAGTAGTCAAAAATTCCTCCAAGATTTTAAGATGTAGGAGGATGAGAGAAGCAATGACGGGGGGAATCAAAAGATTCAGATGAATTATTCACAGAGCATCAACGACATCATGAATAAAAATTTTCAGAAGCAACCGAATGCTGAGCAAACTTCCGACGAACGTGTATCTGTTGTGTCTGGCGGCGATGTCATCAATCTTCCTACTCTCGTTACTTGTTTTCTGGATAGAAGAGGTCGCATATATCTACTTCTATGTACGTGCATGTTTGTCCGATTCTGAAAAAATAATCGACAAAAAACAATCTTCACTCTTTTCCAACCTACCCCCTTTTCCTTCACCCTGACTCTCTTTCTATAGACACATCTTTAGTCTCCTCCAATTTTACCAATTGAACCAAGAAGTAAACTTCTAATGTAAATACGGGTGGTATAAGGAATACATCAAACAAGTTAGTTTCTCCAGAAAAAGGAGCATTGAATGGGGAAGAGAGAAGAAAATCAAATCGGATTTCCTCTTGTGTCTTCTGAAAAAGAAGGCGAAAGCTCTGAAGGTTTTGAGAGATAGACAACACATCTTCCAACGACTAATTTTTGATTCTTTTGATTCTTTTGAACCAACTGAACAATAAAAACTTTCCGGGATTTCGAGAAGATTGTGATACTTGTGCACTTTCTAACATTTGCACTTAAAGCACGATGTATTTTTTTTTTTGATTTTCCATTTTGATCCTCCCTTTTGTACAGTCCATCTATACCATCTGGCATGTCCTACTACCCCTCTCTCAACTAATCAAAATATCATTTCAAATTCTATGCCAGGGAGTTCAATTTGACCCAATTTTCAGGATATATTCCAAGACTCACTTCTTCGGAATTCGTACTACAGCTGCATTTTCAACACGTTCTTGGCACACGTCTGTGATTTTGCATCGGTATGGCTGATTGTGTTGGTTGGACTCGAACGTCTACTACTTCTGTATCGGAAGACACGTGGATTGACTGTGGAGAAGTGAGTGTCAAAAGGATTTCAGTCCTTACAACCTCTTTCAAATTTAGAGCTCGAGCCCAAGTATTCATTCTTCTCGGATTCGCAATGGTCTTCAATGGATGGATCCTTTTTGTGGCTGACATGAGTCCAGAGGGACAGTGTGACATCAAGCTAGAATTCGTTGGAATGTACCAGACCATGACTATTGTGGAAACTATTGTATGTATGCTGGTACCATCGGTCTTGATCATTGCTTGCAACTGTCTAGTTGTCAGCAAATTGAACAGCCATATCAAGTTAGTTTTTTAAAGTTTATAAGATGGAATCCAACGTTCCCATTTTCCAGGAAGAACCCAGGATCCCCAGCGGTGTCATTCAATACTGCTGATATTGTGCTAACAACTCAGACTTCTGCTCCGAGCAACACACTGAAGAGCTATACGAGAATATCCAGCAGATTCTCGATTGATGTGGAGAAGACTCCGAAAAAGAAGAAGAAGGGAATACGGTATACTGATATTCAGTTGACCAGATCCCTTTTGGTCGTCACTTGGGCTTTCATTCTACTCAACATCCCTAACTATGGATACAGAATTGCCAGTATTTTGTTTGGAATTCCAGAAAATGTAGGAAATGTTCTCTATTATTTCTAAAGTAGCCAACAAAATCTTTTCAGTCGTCGATGATGACAGCAATTTCTCTGGGAGCTCATGTCTTCCTCTACACCCATCACGCATTTTTATTCTATCTCTACATCTTCTATTCGCCACAAATGAAGCGCCGTCTGAAACCCACGGCGATGAAGTTGCTCGAGTGTTATTGCTTCAAGCCACCCGGTGATTATCATGATCACACTTAACAAGAAATCTCATTCAAATCTATTCAAATCTCATTGATATTTTGAAACGTGTCCCCTGATCTATATTTATTTTTGATTATTGTTTATCAGGCAATTATCAGTTCAACAAATAATAAAGCGATCTTCCTTATAAATAAAACGCTAGAGGCGTCTGTCCGTCCCGGTGTCAGTCTGTAAACTTTTGAAAAGCTTGAAAAATTAATATAAATTTACGTGACCCTTTGAAAATAATTGAGGAGCTGAGCTTCGAATCAGTAAAAAAACTAGATTGATTCGCGCCGAAGGCGCACCAGCTTGCTGGTGAATAATAAAACTCGTTGTATTATAGTAGGAATGGAAGGAAGGGAAACATGAAAATTTAAAAGTTAACGATTAGCAACCTCATCGATTCTGTAGATTCTATTAGCTGGTGCGAACCATCCTTCATAAGAAACAGAATCTGGCGTCACATCATAATGATAATGCCCCGCATCACCATGATCACTATAGCAATGAGTGTGCTCTAATCTCAAATTATGACCAGGATCATAAGAGTGCATCACAGTAGAACAGACGAGAGGAGCACTCATCGTAAAATAGTTGAGCCATTTGTCAACTTCCTCGTTGTTTTCAAATGGGCATCCCGGGAAATGAGGCATTACGTGGAGCTTAGCTTGGCCGGAATGGATTATAAACTGACCAGCGAGAGACACAACTCTGGAAACAATTGGGGAAGATTGAGTGGTTTGTCTTTTGGAGCCACCATAGAACTCACTTCTCTCCAAAATGTTCTTGCAATCCGTCCCTGATGCAATTGGTCACATTCTTTTGTCCGGTTCTCCCTGACGCTTTGAAATGAACTGAAACAAATATTCAAAACTTTCAGTAAAACGAAGAGAAAGACATACCAACTTTCGATGACTTATCAGCATCTGACAAAGCCAGATTCGCCATCAAACTGAACTTTGGCACGTCGATGGTTCGTTGAACATACAATTTTTCGTTTTTGGTATCAATCTCGGCGATTCTTGTCCCAACTCTTCCAGTTTTCAAATTCACATCTGCCACCATCTCACAGTTTTGCCTTACTACTGGCCATGGTCCTGCTCCTGGTCCGAACACCGATGCTTCTGGATGTTCACAAACTTTTCCGATAGTTTTGATATCGAATTGATGGTTAATGTGAAATCCGGGATACAAGTTTCCAGGTCCTCCAACTTCAGCGATCCGAAGGTTTTGACCGAAACCAGATGATGTCTGGTGGAATGGAGATTTTGAAAGATCTAGAATATTTGATTGGAGGTTTGAAACAAATCACGAGATCCTACCAGGGCAGTTAACAATGTCTACTTCCACAGTTTCGAAATTCAATTTCAACGAACTTTGAAAAACCTGAAAGATGAGTTATGATTCATGTGACCAGCTGTAGCGCATGGACTGTGAAAGTTGAAAAAGATAAGCTAACGAAAAACCAATAATCTCACCTCTTTTAGCTCTTCCAAGCTGGGCACATAATTTTCGATCACAGCTGACAAATTTTCAGAACAGTCCAACATCGTTTATTGTTCGAAGAAATCGATACGACTGATGATCGGAGAGAGAAATGGACAGCAGAGTGGACAGCAGGAAGAACACAAAAGATACGGGACAATTTATTGGTTTGTTTGATGATAGAGAAAGAGATAGTAGGGAATCATAAGTGAGGAGAGGAGGAAAGAAGAAATGTAGAATATCAGGATTATTTGGAAAACCATACGCAATCTGGACTGACCCTGCTGTTGTTCCAAGGTACCTCCGGAGGGCCCTCCAATTAGAGGAGCCCTTCTATTTTTTCAGTCATTTTTCACGAAATCAAAGTCTGAGATTTATTGTTGAAAATTCATAAAAGCCTATTAGTTCAACAAATTTTGAGTAAGCTTTTGAGCAAAAAACTGTTTTCCTATAATTTTCTGTGAAAATGTGAAAATTTCGGAATTTTTTTCAATGAAAACTTAGTGAAATTTTTACTTTGTAAACAACACAACTTTGAAGAAGTCCCTCTATTAAAAGGTATATTAAAAGGGCGCTTCTAATACAGGCGTGAGTTTACCTTCAATCAAGCCAATCCTCTGAACTCTATGTAATGTTTATTTGAAGGACAACATTTCATTAAGATTGTTTATTTACTAACATTAAAAAAGGGCAACCATCAGATTATTGTCGCAGAATATTTGGAATTTATGAGTTCAATTTGTTCCGAACAGTAGCAATCTGCATTGACGATTGTCTAGTTGAAGGTTTAATCTTCCCGCAGCTCGTTACGTAACGAATCACAAACCAATGATCAAACTTTTTCATCAAAACAATTATTAGTTCTGTGATCGCCTTCCGGTAGTTTCGGACGATGAACAAAGATGGGAGAGGGTCAACAACTGGGTAGATAGCAATGGAATAGCTGATGAAAAGGCTGGCACTTCCGATATTTTGTTGAATCAAGGTGCAGAAAAGAGCAATGGAACTGGGAATATACATTAGAAGAAATGGGATTGCTGATTGAATGACCAATGCATAAAACAATTGATTTTGGATTGATTTTGTTTGAATGGAGTTGGAAGATTTTGCAAGTCCTCTTGTGATTTTCATGTAGCAACCGTATCCACAGATAAAAACAGTGACCGCAGATGACAACTGGAATTTAAAATAGTATTATAAATAAATTAAAAGGACATTTCGTACAATCAAAAACCATACAACTGCCATGGACCAAAATGCAGTCCAATCCAAATCATGGATTCCATCCTTGTCTTCCATATAATAGTAAGGACCAACATACACAACATCATCCACGTCAATGTCTAAATGCTCCAGAATATCTTTGCGAATGAATTCAGTATATTCTGGAGTCTCCCTGAAGACTGAATAGTAGGTGACCAGCCAAACGACTCCATAAATTTGAGGAATCATCAGCCAGAAGATGATTTTCATTCCGTCGAAAACTTTCCTCGCTTTTCTTTAATTTCATAGTTCCCGATCTTTGTTTTTATAATATGTTTAAACTCACGGGAATAGCGAGACGTAGCGATAAAGGAAGTGAAGAGCGAACACATTCATGGAACTTCCATACATGGCGCACATGAGACCTAAATTTCATTGTTAGCCAATTCTGAGAAATAGACTAGTCTTACAGTCGAGAATTGAGCAAATCTCTCTACTGAAAATCGATCCCTTAGCTTTCACAATCACGATGACTCGAGTGGAAAACGAGTGAAGTAACTAGAAATTTCGAAGATGTTTAAATCAAAAAAGTCAATTCTGAAAAGATACCGGTTCGGTGACGTATGCAATCACTGAAAATACTATTTCATAGAATGATACATAGATCATCAGATACTTATAATTCCCGATATTCTTCGGAGACTTTGTCCAAATCAGATAGATCAGAAAAAGATTGAGAGGGTTCGCAATGCATGTGCCAACGATTTGGGCGGTTTTTAGAAACGAATTGAAACTTGAGAGATCCATTTTGGAGAAAAACAAAATATGAAGATGGAAAAATGAATTCATTTTAGTTTTCCGCTCTTTATATAAGATACAGGAGTCCCCGTGGGTCCTTGTTAATTGGAATCACGAGGCGGGAAGACAGGTAATCAGAATAGCAACGTAGTTTTTAAAAAAGGAATTATAATGTTTTTCACAAAATTCGTATAGTGAACTAAAGAAGGTCCCAGACGTCTAGAAGTAGTTCTCATGAATTCCACAACAAGCGGTGTTTTAAAAGTTCCTCTAAATTCAGGGCTGAAATTTTACGTTCACGGATTTTAGGGATTTTAGGAGGGTTTTCAGCAGTTCGGAATTTTTACTGACCGCCGTAAAACTATAAAATCTGCAAAAATCCCTAAAAGGTTTTTTTTGTTGCAAAATTCTGTTTTTCCGAGTTTCTTGTCATTTTTTGCTTTGCGGAGGTAACAATTCAAAACAATATTTTTTCATATATTTGACCGAAATTTCCGAATCTCCAAAAAATACTCAAAAATATGATCCGCGCTCGAAAGTTGTTCTAAAAGGAAAAGGATTTACTAATCCACTTTTTTCCGTATCTTTCCAAAATTTCAAAAAAGTCATGATAGAATTAGTAATTGGAAAACGTGTTATCATCAAAATAAAAGAAACACTGAACCTGTATTAACGAAATTTTACGAAAAATACCAGAAAAATCGGCGGAAAATAGGTCTGAAAGCATAATGACCTCATAGCCGTGGACTAGGACATCCTAGTCCCTCCAGAACAAATTTCCGGATCGTATTTTTTGGTATTTTTCAGAGATTTGGAAGTTTTGTTTCCAAAAAATGTGGAATTACATAATTTTGAATTGTTAAATCGAAAATCCGCACAACTACATGACCAAAATGGCCCCAAGCTCCACCGCTTCCAGATGTTTGGTTCCATATAACAAAGTCTACATTTGCCTCTAATCTTCAACCTAAATCTGAACATCACTAGACATTTTCTATATGTTCGGATGAACAGTTGAAACCCCATTTGTGATTTTCAATAGGTTTACGAATACGATATGTCTCCCCAAAAGGCCACCTCCTGTTCCCTTCATTCGGTCACTTTTCTATACATCCAAGAGGCCGAGAAGCATGAGATTCTCAAAACACACCCAACTTTTTTTGAAACGGAAACTTAGTTTCTTTGTTCTAGCCGTCAAGAATTTTCGAGCGACACACCTTTCACCTCAAAATGAGATATCGTTTCATATTGTTCATCAAAAAATGGGATCAGAAAGGATGGATCGACTAGACTTATTCGCCTTCTACACACTATTGGCAATTATACTAATTCATATTATCATATTTCCACATCACAAAAGATTTTTGTATGCTTCGCTTTTGGTTGTTCGTAGTTTCAATTTGTCTTTTTTTCAGAATTCCAGCAGATTTGACGGCCCACTATCCTGAAAGTATCCGTCCATTTTATGAACACATTGCGAGGTTTGAGTTGTCATTTCGAATAACTTGTAATACATGTCTGTGTTTCAGAACTCGAAATCTCAAGAAACTAATTCGTGGCATTGAAAACTCGGAACCCATATTTTCTTTACCTTCTTCTGGACAAATATTTTGTTTTGTTGAAACTTCTGAAAAACATTATTCGGATCGTGTACCATCTATAGCATCCACGTGGCTTGGAAGATGTGACAACGGTCGTTTCTTTTCTAAAACCCCTCTTCCCGATGCTAAAATGCCTTTCTCAACTGTCTATCGTAATCTAGAAGATGACTATGATGACCTATTTCGGAAAACACTTTTCGGGTTCTATTACTCATACACTTACATATCCAAAGATTTTGATTGGTACTTGAAAGGGGATGATGATAGTTATTATGCGATGGATCATTTAAAAGAGTACCTGAGCACATTGGATCCAATGGAACCATTATATTTGGGATACAGAATGAAACCTTTTTTGGTAAACAAATTAAACAAAAAAGCCCCTGTCTAGATTAATTATTTTACAGAAAGATGGTTATAACTCTGGTGGTCCCGGATACATCCTTTCTAATGCTGCTGTCCGTATCTTTGCTGAGCATTTGTATCATGATGAAGTGTTGTGCCCATATGATTGGGCAGAGGATAGAGGAATGGCAAGATGTCTTGCCTCGATGGGAATATATCCAGCTGATACAAGAGACGAAAATGGGTTGCATAGGTTTATTCCGTTCAGAGTGAATGAGTGGAGAGAAGTTCCAGATGCATATAATTATTATCCATTGATGAAGGTTTGTTCATTAGAAAAATGGTCATGAATTGAGGCTTCAATTTCGAGTGGTAGACCGAATCGGCGGTCGGTCGGTTGACTAAATACCGTAAAACCTCTAATAGAACGACACCCGGAACGTCCACTTTGAGCCTATCTCACTTCTTTTGAAAGATATCAAAAAGTGGTTAACTAGTAAAATGTTTATCAGGATATCAGCAACATTTTACTAGTTAGCCACTTTTTGATATCTTTTGCAGAAAATGAGATATATAGGCTCAAAGTGGACGATCCGGGTGTCGTTCTATTAGAGGTTTTACGGTATCCCGACCGAATGGAAGTCTTATCATAAAAATGAAACTTTCAGAATGGTTCTCTGGTATCAGAAAAGTTCGTTTCCATCCATCAACTCTCACCAAAGAAGATGATATTACTTGACAGTATTCTCTACCCGTCATCCGGAAAACGCCTATTTACACCGGAGTTCTTGAATCTACTCTAACTATAACCTTTTTCTAGTTTTAATTATACTATAGTCATCACATAATGTGACTCTTTTTCCAAATTTGTCGTCATTTTTATTGTTATCTTATGTGTCAGCAACGACAAACAGTACATATAAAAGTTCAAAGAAGTTCTTATAGAAAACCGAAAGTGATCGAAATGATTTTGTATCAAATTTTGTTCACACTGTCCTGCTTTTTGTTGGTCAATTCGTTGATCCAGATTCCTCTCACAAGAATTGAATCATTGAGATTCAAACTTATGAGAGAAGGAAAATGGAAAGACTATCAAACATATCAAGACAGCGTCAGAAGCCAATCATATTCTGGAGGCGTCTATGATTATGAAACTGCCGGATATGTTGGAAAAATTACCGTGGGAACACCACAACAGGAGTTTCGAGTTGTCATGGATACAGGCTCTTCAAACTTCTGGATACCCGACTCGTCTTGTGGATCACAGCCCTTGTCGTGTGGTAGACCTACTGCCCAATCCGATACTTGTTATGGAAGTAGGTTTAATTTGCAGAAGTATGAATTAACAGGTTTTGAAAATTTAGGTTACTGTGTTCCCGGTGGTCCAAACACTACAGCATCTTGCACAACTCAACGGAAATTCGATTATTCAAAGTCCACTTCGTATATCAAGTTTGGAAAAGCTTTCCGCTTTGATGTTAGACTTTTCTTGCTCCCAAATTTGTAAATTATTATTTTCAGTACGGCGTGGACAGTGTCAGTGGACTTCTCGGATACGATGTCGTCCGGTTCGGTTCACAGTCAGACAATCAGTTGGTAGTTCCTGGAACAGTTGTCGGTCAATCTGTGTGCATCCCAACATTCCTTGAACAGGTTGGATAGTACCAGAAATGAGAACTAGGAGAATGAGAACTGCTACACTCGAGAACTGTAACGTATTAAAATTTCTACAAAACAGGTGAATGGGCACTGATGAAAAGCTGCTGAATGACAGTTGAATAAACTGGGTAAAACAAGAACTACTACAAATGAGATCAATGGTCCTAATATGTAGTTCATGTTCCATCTTCTTGGGAAAGATTCGAAACCAGCTCGTTACCAAGTTTACAAGAATTAAAAAAAAGTATATGTAGCAGTTCTTAAACGTAGCTGTTCTCAAGTGTAGCAGTACTCATTCCCCAAGTTCTCATTCCTGTTACCGCCCATAACGCATTCAAACATCTATTACTGTTTTCAGACAAATATCGATGGTATCATGGGACTTGGATTTCAAGAAAACGCTCAACAAGGAATTGTTCCTCCATTTGTCAATGCATACAGAAATGTACTTTTAAATCAAAAGTCCTTTCCCATTGTATTTTTTTCAGAATATCGTATCTCCTCTATTCCACGTTTATCTTGAAAAAGGACCGAATGGAGGTGGCCAAATCACTTATGGAGGACGCGACATGCTAAACTGTAAACCAGTGAATGAGTATCACCCACTGACCACGTATTCGTCTTATCAGTTCTATGTAAGAAACTATAATCTACTGATCGAAAAATCGGAATTTCTACAAAATTCAGCTGACACTGGTTTCTGCTGGAAACTACTACGCAAACAAAGGATGGACTGCTTTGGCAGATACGGCAAATTCATTTATCCAGGGACCGGCTGGAGTCATTGCTGGAATTGCAGATGCAGTTGGAGCTAAAGTATTAGTAGTGTTTTCAGTGTTGAAAAACGTTATTTTTTCAGTGGGATAAGTATACGGACACTTATTGGATTCCTTGCGAGCCAAAAGTCGCCACTCAAATGGTGAACTTCACAATTGGAGGTACCATCTACCCGGTTACAGCTGAAAACTTGATCGTTCCTTATCGTATGTTGAAATTTTTAACGTTTAAAAAAATTAAAATATTTCAGCCAACAAGACTGGCTACATTTGTATGTTCACTATTCTCCCACTTTCGAACAATGGGTTCGGACCATCATGGGTGCTTGGTGATCCGTTTCATCGGGAATACTGCTCGTTGTACGACATGGGGAATCAGAGAATGGGATTCTCTGCTCATTTACATTAAATTGCTGAATAAAGATTTAATTGTATTAGAAATTGATATCATTTTAGTATTTTTGGAATCAGAACTGACTCCTCGTTTTGGTGTACTTTGTAAGACACCGGAATAATCTCTTATCATCCACATTACAAGCTCTTATCAGAGTAGTTTCTTCGCGTCAATGCCTCCTTCTTTATATTAATTTAGATAACCACTGATTCCTTTTTTCGTTATGCAACAATTCATTTTAGTTCAGCATCAACTCATTTCACTTTCTCGCTCTCTTTTTATGTGTTCCGGTTTCGCTTCTATTCAATTTTTTCAGGGATGAGAAACCTCATCTTGTTGGCTGCCCTCGTGGCATCCGCTCTGGCGGCTGTTGTTCAAGTTCCACTCGTCAAGATCGAGCCATACAGAAACCGTCTGATTCGTGAGGGAAGATGGGTTCAATACCGTAAGGATCGTGAGGTCCGTCGTTTTATGATGAGTAAACAGTCCAATGCCGCATCCGCTGGACAATATGTGAACGATTATGAAGACGAGGCATACGTCGGAAACATCACCATTGGAACTCCACAACAGCAATTAAGGTTATCCTTGATACTGGATCATCGAACCTTTGGATTCCGGATATCACCTGTGGAACCAAGCCAGAGAACTGCTCAGCGGTTCCAACTTGCCATGGAAGTGAGTTTCTTGGGAGCTATGAGTTGGTCTACAAAATTTCATATGAAGAACCAACGCAATAAAATAAAACTGCAATAAAATTGCTCGACATTAGAATCTATTTTAAAATAGTACTTTTTAATATTACATCACTAATTTGTCCATATCCGGAATATTTTTCTGTAGTGACGTCTATTTTTAGCCATTTCAAGCACAGTTGCCACATTTATAGGTCACCAGTAGATAAGAGTAACATACTGTTGAACAAACTGACTCATTTGTAGTTCTCTGCCAATTCGAATGCGATGACCAAGCCTGCTGTGGGGCTGGACCAAACTACACCGACTCGTGCCTTCTCCAAGCCAAATTCGACGCTTCCAAGTCGTCAACCTACCAACCAACGGAAGAGCATTCATCATTGAATACGGAACTGGATCTGCCAGAGGATTCCTTGGACAGGACACTATGACTTTCGGAGGGATCGGAGAGCCACAACTCGCTGTTCCAAACACCGTCTTCGGTCAAGCCACATCTCTTGCTGCCTTCTTCGAGGGACAACCACTTGATGGAATCCTCGGACTTGCCTTCAAGTCAATTGCCGTTGACCAAGTCACTCCTCCATTCATCAATGCCATCAACCAAAACCTTGTTGACCTTCCAGTTTTCACTGTCTTCCTTGAGCATGAAGGAGATCAAAACGGAGTCAAAGGAGGAGTTTACACATACGGAGGAATCGATTCGACTAACTGCGGACCAGTTATTGCTTACCAACCACTCTCCTCTGCCACTTATTACCAATTCAAAATGAGTGCTATCGCTTCTGGAAGCTACCGTGCCTCCAAGGGATGGCAAGTTATCTCCGACACCGGAACTTCCCTTATCGGAGGACCGAAGGCCTACGTCTCTGGACTCGCCGATGCTGTCGGAGCCACCTGGAGAGACGACTACGGTGTGTACATTATCCCATGTAACGCCAAGATCGGAACCGTCGACATCACCATTGGAAACCAAGTTTATAACATTGATTCCTCCAACACCATTATTCCACTTGGAGATGGCAGCAGCAACTGCATCTTCGCCATCTTCCCATTCAGCAGCGGAGGCTTCGGACCATCGTGGATTCTTGGTGATCCATTCATCCGTCAATACTGCAACGTGAGTTTCAGTAGAGAGTTTTCTTGAAAAGAATCATTGATGAGTTTTCAGATCTACGATGTTGGATCCCAACGTGTCGGATTTGCCAAGTCCCTCCAAGGANAGTAAACAATTTAATAATGACATTAATTATATTATGATGGATGTGTTCAGTTCATTATGCATAAGTTTGGTTTTTAATTATACAAGTGAATTGTTAAAGAGATATGCAATTGGTGAAAAATGGGGGATTATGTACAGAACCGGGGAGAATTGAAAGAGGTATTGGAATACAAAAAAAAGGCACTGCACTAAAAGAAGAAAAGAGGTAGCGTTAAGACTGCCTAACTACAGACTGTCCTGTTTTTGTAGATCAAAAAAAAATTAAACTGGGTCATGGGGAAATTAAAGTTCTAATTTAAAACTGCATTGGAGAAGGGAACATTTTCTATTTGAATGTGCTCATTGGAGGTTTTTTGGATTGATCTCCGTTATCAGTTGCTGTAGAAACTGGACGACTATCAGGACCTCGGGAGAGACTGGAGGATCGGTAAAATGTTGAATATTGGTTGGAATTTGAATTGGAATTTTGAAATTGAGGTTGATTTGAATACTGATTTGATTGACGTTGGTCATCTTGATTCTGGTTTTGGTTCTTCTGATTGCTCTTTGTTGAGTTCGAATCATCGTCAATGTACGACGCCTTAACCGCAATAGGGTAACGTCTTCTGAAATATTAAAAATGGAAATAATTTGAAAAAGAATCATGCAAGACAAGTTTGCATTCAAATAACGACCAAGTTACTGCGAACCCTGTAATAAAAGAGCCCTCTAACTTTTAACTTTGAGCCAATTTATCTTGGTTTCTGTAGAAGATATGAAAAAGTTATCAACGGATAAAATGTTCATCATAATATCACAAACATTTTATCAGTTGACACATTTTCGATATCTTGCATAGAAACCGAGTTAAATTTTCTCAACTTGACAGTGTGGAGGTCCTTCTATTACAGATTAATATGAACATGCTAGTTTTCAGAACATAACGAATCCATAAAATCAACACATATTTTTTGTTACAAACCAAAACACAACATTCATTCTATGACAATTTTCTTACAATGATTGTCTCGATTATGCTCATGGTCGTGAGCAAATGCATTAATACTCATTCTTCTGCAATGTTATGCGGTTAAGCAATTTACTAGTTTTCTAAATCCTCAAAAAAAAACTCACAGCAATTCATCATCTGGAGGTCTCATATGCGCGTTCTCTGGCAACAACTTTTCCATCAAATCCTGAGTTGCAATGGTATTATCCACATTGGCTCCCAGAGCTCTTCTCCATCTCAACGCATTCGCCTGATTTTGATCTGTATATCTCCAGGGATTGATCGGATTCACAAGAGTGGGAGGAGCAGGCCACCAGGTTTCTCTTTCCTCGATTTTCGGAGCAGAGTTACTTCGTTTCAATTGAGGTTCTGTTCCGTGGAAATTTCTCCAAAGTTCTTGAACTAGATCCGTTCCAAATATAACTCCAGATTGCAGTGTCATCATTCGAATCACAAATACTCCGTCACTTTTTAGATAGTTATCGATGAACCGTTTCACTTTGTCGTAAACTCCTTCTTCTAAAAATTTAAGACTTGATTTCAGTTTTTGAAGAGTTTGAATTACCGTAAACTGTAATAGAACGCCACCTAAAGGTTCAACTTTGAGTCCACATATCTCATTTTCTGTAAAAGATGTCAAAAAGTGGTCCAATGGTCGAATACTTATCATAACATCAAAACAATTTTGTCTGTTGAGTACCTTTTGATACATTTTACAGGGATCAAGATAAACAAAGTCAAAAGTTTGGGCGGCGTTCTTTTAGAGTATTTAAGGTGGCTCACCTGATGAATCAAATGCGATGTCACTCATTTCCAGGTGTCTTATGATGAATCTTCTATTCAGATGACCCCACAAAGAAACAATCAACCAGTAGGCAAACGATCCGAATGTAAAAACAAGAAGAGCCAAATACCAAAACCATAACAAAATGAAGATCTTCTCGTTGAAAATGTTGATTACCAATACGCATTGTATGGTATGTTCTTGCATGTTTCCCATCACTCTAACATCAAAATCACAAAGTGAAACTCTTGGAAACATTCCTGATTGCTCCCAAGTAGTGCCATTGAGCAAATCAACCAGAGCTCCGAATCCATACCACTTGTATTTGTCTGTTTCGAGGAAGCGATTCATAAAAAGCAGTTGAAGACAGACATTGGCAAGGTAAAAGAATTTGGTACAAAGATACATTGCGGTGACGAAGAATGCAGAGTACGGTAGGTTGAAGAGCCATAGAAAACGATGTGGTCGGATTTGTTTCTTTTGAAGACGTCGATGAAATCGAAGAGCTCCTTGAAGATGAACGGTGAGAGATTTGATGTTGGCTCTTTTGATGTCAGGTTTGATGTTGTTTGGGTCAGATGACAGTTTGACGATTTCATTGATTTTGATTCCTGAAATGAGTCATTCATCAAAATATATAATACAAATATTTTCTAGCTTGTTAACAAGGTTTCTATTGAGTAAACAGCTTTTGAAAGTGATGTTTGTCACATCGTTTTTCTGTTTGTACGAATCAGAAAATCTCACCAGAATGACCAGCCAAATACTTCCATAAAAGACTTGGCAATCGGAAACAAGCAGCTTCGAGCAACAAGAAAAATGGCACCCATTGATAATAACTTATCTTCCTCTGCCGTTTTTCATCGGTATGCAGACCGGCAACCGGTTCATTCGTTGGCACATAATACGTATCACTTGCCCAACAGTAATTTTCGGCATATTGTTCCCAACTACTACTAAAGATGTCTGGAACTAGACATTCTACAGGTTTGCCACCAAATTGCTGTAAATCCACTGATATAAAAAGTTATAAGTGAGCTACTGTACTTTAAAGGAGACTAATACTGCAAGACCGATGAGTAAATTGCATGTGAAGTACGAGTGAAGTCGATCCACAAAATCTCGGTCGTCACTTCCAGCTACATAGCGTAGCATGGAAAGTACAGCGGCCAACACCATCTTGTATTAATTTGATTTCTGCTTACTTCTTGTTATCCCAAAATTATGTTCCACTGATTTCGAACGGCATAACCTGAAACGAGTCAAAGAGTGAGATAAAAAGAAAAAGCTTGAGAGAGAAAAGTAGTGTCTCGGCGGGTGAAACGGTCGAGTAGAGCCATCGGCGGTAGGGGCCCAAAGAAAGAGCAAACAATTGAAATAAGAAGAAGAAGCGGGAAAATAGATGAAAAAGAAAAGAAAAAGAAGAACAGTAAGTAAACGAAAGAGAGATTAACACATAGGTGACGAGAAGGTATTACATGAAACAGAGTATTATATGTAGGTCAGTTTCATGAAAATATATGAAATTGATTTTTCAATTTTATATGTAAGATCTGGAAGGCTATTTATTGTAGAAATGTCTTAAAAACAATAAACAATGCTCTGGAATCTGAATGAAATCATTTTATTAGTTTTTGGAATTTTAGAAAATAGGAAAACAACGAATGAAATTTGGACTTTTAATAGGAAATTCTAGAAAATAAAAACAAATCAATTTTAAGACTGTGAGACCATAGAAATTTAAGCCTAATAGTAAGAATTTCTAAGTTTCATACGATATCAAGCATTAATTTTTATACAGAAAACATTTTAATTGTAAAATGGGACTTTGTTTTAGTTTCAGATTTTATAAAATATCGATGGTAGGACCGATCACAGTTTTCAATTTGGAACAATGTTTATTTAGGAAAATTTCATTTTGTTTCACTCTAGGAAATCTCTAATCCGTCGTACCACAAAAACATCCAGCAAAGATCTGAATATACATAAAATCAGGAATTTAAAAATTCAAGAATTCCAAATTTTAGGAATTCAGAAATTCAGTAATTCAGAAATACGGAAGATCAGAGTTTCGGAAATTCGGAAGTTCAGAAATTCAGAATTTCAGATTTCAGAAATTCAGAGATTTGGGAATTCGGAAATTCAGAAATTCAGGAATTCAGAAGTTCAAGGATTTAGAAAACTGAAACCTAAAAAGTTCAGAAACTCAAAAGTTTGGATTTACAAAAATTCGGAGCTCGAAGTATCCAAAAATCAAAAAATCCGAATTTCGTAAATCCGGAAATTCGAAAACTAAGAAATTTAGGAATTCGAAAAATCGGAATAAAGTTTCTTATAAAAGACGAAAAATGTTGTTTTTTTCTTCATAGTTTTTGGCTTTCGAGGTCTTGAAAATTAAAATTGAGCCTATTAAATTGGACTTCTTATTCTTCCGCTCTTTTCTCACCAGTTCAATGTTCTTTTTTCTATAAGACCAAAATTGTGTCACGTTTCTAATATCGAATCATCTGTTGTTTTCCTAGGACTTGACACAAAACGAGCCTCAATTGAAGACTCAAAGATGATAAAACCAGAGGGAAAGTGTGAGAAAAAAAGGTGATAAACTTTGAGAAATCTTGGTGCGGTCTCCATGGAAAAATCAAGTTTCAAGAACTTGTTACAACTGATAAAATCGGGAATATATTTAGACATAGTTAACTTGGAAGCACGAAAGTTGGTAAAAAAATTACATTTGATTCAAGGCTTCTGAAAGAATCATTCTGGATCAGAATTTTTGAGATCAAGAAATAATACCGGTCCTCACGATTTAGGAAAAAACAGGGACCAAAAATGTTTCACAATAAACAAATATTTTTCCCAATAACTATTATTATCACCTGCTAAATCCATAACCACTCAAAAGTCTATAATTATCCGTAATGGAACACCTCAAATTATCAAATTATCAATAGTGTTATTAGAAAACGACCTCAAAAATAAAACCAAAGGAATGTTCGAAACTGCATGCCCGTGGACCCCAACAGCTTTCAACGTAACCAGAGAGCCTCACGGACCAAAACCTAGAGAGTATAAATTTCAAGGAGACGCAGATATTCGTCGTCTCTCCCTCAACCACATTGATCTGCCGAAAACAGATGAGAGAATAGAAGTGAGGGAGCAGAGAGAAGGAGAAGAAGGGCGGAGGACATCAAATTGGAATAAACGACGTCTTCTTCGACCTTGTTTGCATTCGATTTTCGTACTTTCTTGTCACTTTTGATAACAGGCGGCTCCTCTTGCTTTTTACAGAAAAAAAACGTCATTCCATGCGACATTTTCAATATTTGAAATAGCTAGAAGGGAAAAGGGGAAGAAGAATTGCAAAATGAAATGAAAAAAAACGGAATGAGACATGTGTCCGTACACAGTCCCGGCTGGACGCAACACAGATTGAAACAAAAGGGGGAGCACAGAGAGTAAACACGATGTAAATACATGGCTTCTGTATTAGATGAATAGTCATTTATTATAACAAGGAGCAAAAAGAGGAAAATTGGATGAAAGAAACGTTGATGAACCCTGGCAAGACCTGAAAGAACTCGAAATACTCACGTATAGGAGATGGAAGATTTGAGAAAGGGCAATTCGAAACCAACACAAAGCAAAAAAAACTGAGGGGGAATTTAGAAAATGATAAAGCGGCTGAAAAGTGAAGCTGTGACTGTGAAACTATGACAACTGAACTACAAAATGAATATACTGAAAAGACAAAAAAAAAATCTATGGGACTTGGGAGAGAAGACATAATTTATGACAAAACAGTGGCTCTAGTTCCCTTGTTACATAAGTTGGAGGCATGAATTGACGGAGATATTTTCTGCAAAATTCGGATTCAGGATTCAGTGATAAAAAGGGGGAACTCACTTGCAGAAGGCGCATTTTTTCGTAAAACAGTTCACATACATTTGTATGTAGTTGTTGCATTGGACCACATTGCCTGGCTGTCTGGAAAAAATCGAACATTTTGACTAAAAAGTGCTTTTCAGGATCATTTTAAGAGGATATTTGGATAAAAGTTATTAAAAGATAATGAATGAAAATCTTGAGATTTTGGAAAAGGTCTGGGCTCTTCAGTCACTATTTTCTAGGACTTTTTAAACGAAAACACGTTTGTTGGACTGTTGTGAAAAGGAAAACATTCAAAACCATATAGAAGAGATTTTTCGAAAAGTGAGAAAATTCCAGATATTAAAGAATTGTGAATATTCAAGAATTGGATTTCTTTTGAAAAAAATTCGGAAGGTTCAAAACTATTTGATTTTGAGAATTCTTGGCAAGGATAGGCCTAATTTTGGATTTCCAGGCCATAAATTACTGAAGTTTGGATTTCTAGGACATCAATGACCCAATTTTATATTTCTAGGCCATAAGTGCCCCAATTTCGAATTTCTCGGTCAATTTTGTAATTTTCACGTTAATTTTGGATTTCTAGGTCAATTTTAGAATTAGTTAAACCAGAATGTGAATTAGCTATTGTTGGCAAGAAACCAGAAAAGCAGATTTGTAGTTTTTGTTCACAGAGCTTCTAGTTATTGTTATTCACAAGATACAATCACTTTGAATTACAGAAACCGGCTGGAGAATATCCCAAAATCTCTCCAGAGGAACTAAAATATTGTTTTTTTTTAAATTCCAAACTACTTACGTAAATTTAGTGACTGGTGAGCCGAGTATGATCTCTTTTGCTGAATTCGTAAACTCCTTATACACTTTTCGCTTCGACGGATAGATTTTCTCTGTGTCGTATAGTGTCTCATCCTCTCCTCCAATAATCAAATCCTCCAGAATTCCGAATCTCAGAATTAGAAGAGCTTTCATACACGTCACGAAGTCTTTTTCAGCCGTCGGGCGTCGGGTAGCATATTGGACCTGAGATCGGAGATTTTTAGTATTTTGAAAATTTATAACATGTGAAACTCACTTCAACTAGACTTTTCGCATTTCTAAAGCATCTATGACTGATTCTTTTGAATTTCCAGGACATTGGTTCGCCTCTTGTCCTGTTTATAACTGCATCAATTGCTAATAAGAATCCTTTATTTGCGTCTTCTAAATGCTTTGAAAATTTGATCGGTGGTGGAGCAGAAAAGATGGTTGAGCGAGGTTGAACGGCAGGGTTTCTCCGGAAAGTTTCATTTAAACAGAGGATATTTTTCTGGAATTTTTTAGCTTTGATTAGAGGAAAACTGGTGAAAACGAATAGACTCACATCAATGGCAGTCCTTTCGTCCAATGATTCTTGCATTCTGTCGTATAGTGCATATGCATTGATGTCTTGAACTTTCAGATCCTGAAAATAAATGTTCTTTTATAATTAGCGAGTTGTCTAAAATATGAATGAATAATTTTGAATGATTCATATTTAGCGACCACAGCACAAGGGGCGGAGCCTATTTTTTTCTCCGCGGGGGGTTTTGGATTTTTGATTGGTTGTAACTATGGCTAGAAAAGAAGGATCGATATGAAAATTTGACTCCTTATGTAATCGACTGCGTAGAATTCAAATATGAAAATGTTTTTACTGAAATTCTTACACAAAAGAAGGAAAGAGCAATAAACAAAAGTGGGCGGCAGAAAAATGCACAGTAAAAGAGATGGGTGGCTGAAACGCTCAAAATTTTTGTTGTTTCCAGTAACTTAAGACTTTTACTAAAAGGAAATCATAATGAAAATCTCAGAAAAGTTAGCCGAAAATAGTACATTTCAGCCAAACTGGCTGTAAATATTGTGAAAAAATTTTAGTGGCAGAAAGTATTTTATTTCCATTCGAAAGATGGCGTACTCATGGAAAATTTCAGTTTTTCGCAATTTTACCATTAATAGAGATTGATAACGCATGATTTCTTTACATATTTCTACGAAGAATTTCACATAAAGTGATTTTTGTGACAAATCCCAAAAAGTCGCCCGAAAAAAAATACCAATGGATACCAAGAGCTCCATCAAAACGTGTTATTTGAAATTGAAAATTTCCGTACGCTTTCAGTGAATAAAGTTCAGGGCTCCTGTAATAGAAGGGCCCTCCGGAGGTAACATGGAAGAATGGAAGTGTCGTCCCTTTTAATACAGATTTCACGGTATAAGTTTTAGGCGCAGGCCAGCTTTGATTATGAATAAACTGTTTGATTTTTGAGCAATCGCTGTTTAACAATGTTTTTTTTTCGATTATAATTAGAACACTTACTTGCAAAGAATTCTCCACAGATTTATAGAATCCTCTTTTGTCGAAAATCGCATTCAACCGGCATTTGACTGTCGCCGTTCGATTCATATCATGATAGATATTCGCCACCTCCGTTAGCGCTTCTCTTGTTTTCAAAATCTCTTCCTCTGTTAACACCTCCTTCAAAGAATCCTCCATCGCAGCCTGCGACTTTGCTCGCAGCAGCACCAATTTTTTTCTCAAAGCATCCACCCATTGGAGCAACGGAACCGCATTCTTTTCGGTCGTATTTGATGGTAGCGTCAGAATTGGTCTAGCAGCAGGCTGTTGAATGTTTGGTTGCAACGTTCTGACACCCGCCTGGAGTACCGGCATCGATTGGGAATGTGGTATTCCGCCAGATGAAGGTCTCTGGGCTGTTGTGGTTCCGGGAGTTCCATTTGCGGCAGATGTAGTCGGATGTTGTTGATTGGACTGCATCGTAACCACACGAAGTGGCCGTAAGATCCGAGCACGGCCGTCTACCTGGAATAACGACAGTACTGTGGAAAAAATCGTTTACTTTAATTAATCGAAAAGATTTGAATGCGGTTGAAGAAAGAAAAAAAAAATTCAAAACTAATTTTGACCCCAAAAACAGAATTGGTTAGTTATCAAATAATCATTCCAAGTCGGTACAATCGATTTTTCTTTAATGTTAATTGCACAATAATAAGGAGGCGCACTGTTCCGGGGAACACTCTGTGTCTCTCGTCTATTCACCAAGCATACGTACTATTGTCATGGCATTGCACTAGACCTCTCAACAGAGCGCATTTGCTCTCCGCAAGTGGAATGGACATCTGAAGACTATTCAAGGGACCCGATGTTTATCTAATGGTCTATTTATTACTGACTAGTGGTGGTATTATCATTCATTTATCAATTTTTATCATGTTAATCTTACCTTGCTAACGATGGGCGGCCTTCGGGTGAACGGAGTTTCTGAGATTCGTCCATTAGGATTCTGGAAAAATAGATTTTAACTTTCCTACAGTAGGACAAAGAATCCAGTTATTTTTCAAGAAGGAAGACAGTGTGAAAAAAGTTTGAGAGCGGATTCTCTTTGAATTTATATTAAAAGCACAAGAGCGAACTACTGTATCTTTTCGGCCTTTTTTTAAATAAATAGCATTCTCCTATTTTTTCAACGTTTCGACGATTTTCATCGTTTTTTTAAATGATTTACATCGGAAAAGCGGTGAAAATCGTTATTTGAGAAATTGAGAAAAAACGAGAATAATTTTCAGAATAGGCTTCAACAAATACGGTAGTTTGCTCTGGCGCCTCTAACTTTTTGCTGACAAAATATACCTTGAATTTTACTTTCTAAAAATGTAACAACCGAAAATCTCTAATTTTAAAGTCAGTTATTATTTTACTTATCGAAGACTCTTCCGCAATAATTCCCCGTCGTTTTTTTAACTCTGGTAATCGGTTTCTAACCAGTTTCGGGCAATTTTCCAACCAGATTCGGGAACGCGCATTTTCCAACCAGATTCGAGTAAAATTCCAACCAGATTCGGAAAGATATTTTTTTATTTTCCGACCAGATCTGGCGATTTTCTGACCAGATCCGACCGAGAAAGCTAACTTCCGAACCTGATTCGGACAATTTTCTAAACAGATCTAGCCATTTCTTATCCGGAATTTTCCCGAATCTGGTTGGAAACCGTTTACCAGAGAAACATAACATTTTCAAATTTTAAGAAATTTACTGCTACTGGTTGCACATTCTCCCTGCTTATCCTAGCTTGTCGATCGTCCATGATCTGAATTTTTCAATCGTTTTTTTTTCATTTTTCCTGACACATAAATAAAATAAAAACTTGGTCCTAGGGAACAAAAAAAGTGTTTTATCATGATTATAAAAATTGAAGCATTTATTCAAAAACTGAAAGAAGAAAAAATAAGCTCGGAATGCGGGAAAAAAGAAAACAGGAAGCAAATGATTGATTGGAGGCTTTGGCGATGGAAAAAGATGCATACCGTAAAACCTCTAATAGAACGACACCCGGATCGTCCACTTTGAGCCTATATATCTAATTTTCTGTGAAAGATATCAAAAAGTGGTTAACTAGTAAAATGTTACTGATATCCTGATAAACATTTTACTAGTTAACCACTTTTTGATATCTTTCAAAAGAAATGAGATATATAGGCTCAAAGTGGACGATCCGGGTGTCGTTCTATTAGAGGTTTTACGGTATATTTCAAGGTGAAAAGCTGGGGCGAAAAGCATTTTTCTAGGGCTATTGGACAAGAAAGGGAGGGAAAATGTAACCGTGGGTGCAAAAGAAAAGAGAAAAATATACGACGATCAAATGATTTACATATAATACAGGCAAAGCAGTAAAAAAGACGAGATTGAAAATAGATTAAATTATGAAACAATGAGAGAAGGGTTGTTGAGAGAGGGATAAAACAATTTTCGAAGCTCGAAAAGATTGGAAGATCAAGCGGTACAGACGTTTGGAGTTAGAAATGCGATTGGGAACGATTTGATATGTGTCTGCCATTGTGGAGACGTTTGGAAGTACCTGATTCCATTATACGCGTTTCCATCGATTATCACTGAAAAGTAATGAAGTCGTCTTTGCATCACCTAAATTAACAAAAAATACTTACCGGTCAACTCATTATGCTTTCCAGAGGCACTACAGAGCATTCTTCCTATAGAAGACACTTGAGATGGAATCGGACCTTCTTCTGGCTTCTGCTTCTGCCCCTTCTTCATCCCTAGCTTCTGTAGCATTTTGTCTTTTCTCTTCTCTTTTAGATACGTCAAACACAACGAGCCAGAACTGGGAGACCTCGAAACAAGAAGTGTTTTAAAATGCGCTTTGATCGTAACTTTGGCAGCTTCCTTCTTCGAATTCGGTGTCGTGTTAGAAGTGGTTGGAGGATAATCGGAAGAGCAGTAGAAAGTATTCTGTTGGGGTGGTGTGTTGGGCCAGAAGTCCATATTCAGCTCTTGACCATCGACGTTTCGAAGTTGCGGAGAATGAGGTGGAGATGAACCCTCCGCTTTGGAGACGACTGATTCTTCTCTTGGTGATACGATTGTTTGTGCGAATCCGTTTACATTGTTCGAATCGTCGTCGTTTTCGATTTCACACTGCTGATTTCCAACACGAACTTCGCTGAGGAACGGCAAAAATACACGGCCGCCATCTGAATCGCGATCAGCTGTCAGTTGCAGCATCGCTTCTCCGATTGGCATGTTTAGTTTCGATGACATCACCGTGTTTGGCCAGGCAGCGATCTTTGCGGCTAACGCTGCTTTTTCAGCATGATTCATGTCTCCATATCGATCCCATAAGTCACGACACAAATTGTCAAGTTGAGGGTCGATTCCTAAAAAATAAAAACGAAATTTTCGTTGGATCGGAAACTCTGAATTACCTTCGATCAGTTTATAAAAAAGCGAACTTGTCGACGGAATAACCACAAAGCGAAGATGATTGATGAGATTGGCAAGGGATTTATGCGCGAGGCACTCGACATAGGCTTTAACGACTTGTGAGATGAGCTTGTCCGTTCCGATGATTCCGACGATGGACAATGGAGGATTTGACGAATTCGTGTGACAGCTGCAAAAAAAAACATAAAAGAATGATGACTGAGCAATAGTATTCACTGACAAACTCTGAATTCGATTGATGACGTGACTCAACGTTTGGCGCACTTGAGAGAAAGATGGGCAGTTAACAATTGGTACCGGACCACCTAATGTGGCATAAACTGGCCATTCTGAAAGATTACACAGCCAGACGGCTTCTTTTCCTTCTGATGACATGCTGGTTCCGAGAATTGCGCACAGTTGTTCTGAGAGGCTCACTCCTCGATGCACACCATGATCGTTTCTGATAGAGTTAAGAGTAGAAGAATGTGGAATCGAATGAGAATCGAAGGAAGACGTCATAACGCGCATTCCTGACGTTCGAACGGGAGTATGAACCGAGTGGTCCGGATAGCCTGAACCAACAGAATCTTTCTGAGTCAGTCTTCCTCTTCCATTGTTTTCTTTTGTATTTTCCGGATCCGAATGCCATCCACTTTCTCCTTGTTCTCCTTCTGCGTCTGACACTTCGTACATTGCTGCCAAATGTTCAATTTTCTCCTTCTCATCGAAAAATGGTGCGAGTTGGGGACGTCGATTGCTTCTTATCGATGCATCATCATTGAACATTTCTGGTCCTGAATCGTACGGTGATTCCAGATCATCATCTTCCCAAGGCATTTCTTTTACAACTTGTCGTCTTCCTTGCTGAAATCATAATATGAATTATTAGTTAGAAGTTCTAAATCATTCCTTACATCTTCTGGACGGAACATATTAAACAACTTGTTCATCTGATACTTCAAATTCTTCCCTTTTGTTCTACCAGGCCGAGCTTCAATTTCTGTTGAAGCCTTGTGCCGTCCACTCCTTCCACTTGGAAGTTCATTAAGATCATCTCCGACATCATCATAATCTGTCTCGGTTTCTTCTTCGGAATCCTCAACAACCTTCTTGTGTTTGTCTCTATCATCGACGATTTCAGGTGGTTGGGAGTAACACGATGTTAGGAACACCTTTCCAGCACACGCACCGACTCCTTTCAATTCAACTTCGTTCTCCGACGAAGGGTTCAACTGAATTTCGCGTAATCCGCCTTGTTGTAGGATCTGAAAAGAATTAAAAGAGAGTAATTGAATGATCCAATTAGTTGAAAAAGCGCCACTCACATAAGTAAGATTGATGTTTCCAACGGCAAGATCTCGGAAACCCCCAGGCAGTCGATTTTTGTACTTTTTCCGTCGCTGAATCAATAATTGAAGAACGTTGGCTTTCCGTTTCAAGAAGTGTGGATACTGAATACAGAAAGAGATGTCACAATCCAAATCGATGCGACCGTGATTCGGAGTCACTTTGATCTCATTGCTCCGCAAATATCGACTCCGTTTTGAGAGCTGAAACTTGAAATACTGATTTTCCTTCGTTTGTTTTGGTTGTCATTACCGGAAGCTTGGCGGTGACAATGATTGAATTCACTTCCGGTGACACACAGTCGAGTAGAATTCGATTGATTGAGACATTGAAGATTCTACAAAAAGGACGGATCTTTTCTATCTCACTGTCTTTTCCCAAGGTATCACATGTTTTTCTTATGTTCTTTTCGAATACCTAGTTCTAAAGTGGTTGCAATCAAAAATTATTTTTCAAATTATCCTGACACCTGTTTTTTGTATCTTATGGCAAGTAACCAGGAAGAAGAATTGACAACCTCTGAACACTCTTTGATCTGTTTCAAAATGGAAAATAATTACCTTGGGACTGTTGAAGGCGTAGCTCTGTCGACATCCCAGGTGGCATACAGGCGCATGGCCATAGAGCTGCTTTCATGTTGTTTCTCCATCGATGTTCAGTTGTATGACATTGCTTGATCTGAAAAGAAGATTTTGTTGATACTGGGAACGAATGGAATTTGAAGATGGCAGAAAAACGCGAGAAAGAAGAAAGGGATCAATGTGAAAACTATCATGTTTCTAGTGCACTTTTTGTTTAGAGAACAATCTCCAACAACAACATCGAGAATTTTAGCGTTTAAAAACGATTATTTTTTTGCCATCACACAGCACAGCTCGACGCGAAACTGGAAAATCGGTGTGAATCGGGTAAAAACTGGGTTTCGGTATACTAACGGATTATGGAATGTTTTGTGTGAAAACGACAAACGGGTGGCCAGGCAAGAGACAAACAAAAGTTCAAAAGATGTGGAAAGAGGCAGAATGAGAATAGTTTATGAGTTCATTGTTCTCTGGAACATGTGGAAGCACTTATATAATAGATTTATGATATAACTATATGAGAGCTCGTTTAAGTCACCCAACGAAAAACTGGATTTGTTTCGTCTTCGTGTATTTTCTAAGAAAGAAATACCTAGAATTCAGGTTAGACAATACGCTTCATGAAGAGAGAAATCCTCAGAAAATGTGGCTGAGACTCGAAAAAAAATAATTGAATGGAGATATCAAAGAAGCATCCTATCTTGTAGCGAAGCTCTTCTTCGAAAAATGTATTCAATTCAGAATTTCTATCCAGCAAAGGGGTTAACGATTGAATTCGTCTCGGCGACAAAAGGCCAGTGAAATTAAATTTGTGATGAAAAGGTGTTCACGATCCCAAGACACTCTTGCGCGCAATACATGTGTCTGAGTCTCTGAACGAAAAGAACAAGGTGGTTAGCGGAAATAGAGAGAGAACATGGGAATAATTGACACCGAAGATAATAGACCTGGAAAGGTCTGACCCGCCCAACCGTACCGAATTCAATTTTCGAATTCTCGTGGGAAAGTAGGAAGAAGAACAATATATGAGTAGAAAGAAGAACAATATTCGGTCATCATGTTGCCGGGCATGGGTTGTTTTTGTTGAGTAAAATATCACTTTGCATTATTTTCAAATATGGGGCTCCTTCCGTTTTGGATTTGCCTTTTGCGTTGAGAGAAAGCAAAGATGAGAGAGCCTTTCAGAATCTTATGAAATTTAGAATAGCGAAAAAATTGCCAATAGCTACATACAAGTAGAAAGCAATAGCCAATATCATATTTCAGGTAGGTCCGAGCACACATGGGCTGATCGCAGAGCTTAGGAAACTACGTGAGAAGTTTGCGTGCGTGTCGGTGATCCAATGTTCTTCCGTCAAACGCATCTAGGGAATTCGAACTGACAGGAAGACGCATCAATCATCCTCCATTCGGAAGATCGAACTTACTGATATATAGGACTGGTAGAATTTGATTGGAAAAGAGACATCTTGCAAAAGAAAATTTTTTTTTTTGTTGTTATACATGTCAGTGTGGGCACCAAAAAGAGATTCAACGACGGAAATGTTGGGTTTCCGTTGTTGGGCCATGGGCACAAGTAGGAAAAAGATCCGGGTTGATTTAGGTCCAAATAAATCTTAAATACCTTCTCCGGCATCTTTGGTCGTAGATTTCAGAACCAAATGACGTTGGTTGAGGCTAAACGGGTCACTGTATTTAATTAGATGTCTTCGAGAGCTCATTTCAAGCCGGAATCGGAATGAATAGAAGACGAGAAATGACGTGCGTTCTAAAATAGTGTCAACAAAAGAAGAAGAAGAAGAAGAAGAAGAAGAAGAATTTACCGAGATTCGTTTCGAATCCTAACTATTATCGTGGCACGAGTTACACTACAAATCAGAACGAACAGGAGCTGCAGCCACTCCGTCTCGATGGCCACCACCGATTTGCCATTGGAATACTGATAACAAAACTAGAAATAGAGAAGGTAGAAGAACGGTGATAAGAGGGAAAAAGGGAGAGAGAACGTCTCGGTTCGAATGTTTGCTCTCGGTGACTAATAAGCTAATTAGAAAACAGCAGAACAGAAGAAAATTTGGAAAGAAAATTACTTTTTTTTAACAATTTTCAAAGAACGAAGATAATTGAAGAATTATGCAGCTTTTACCAAGCAAGACGTTAATGAACCAGGAAACAAAATTCCGGTTGCAAACGAATAATAAAAATGCTGATAACCCGGTTATTGTTAACTCTCTGAAGTTCTTTGAAACTGATAAAGTTCACAAAACTCTACAAAAATACTTGTTTTCTGTAGGTTGTGAAGTAACAATCCGTCAGACAAGGAAGTATTATCTACGTTCGTGCACACCTCGAGAGGGAACACTACCAGTTTTGTTCTGAGAATTAATGACCTCGTTTACAAAAATATTTTTTTGCTGGAAATAAAACATGCCGTGTCGCGAATGCAGAAAAGGAATGGAATGAAGAACAAGTAGGTGAAAAGAGAAAAAAAAAGGAGCAGTAGCTCCATCCCACTCATCAGATGCAATAAATAGACAATTGTCTTGACAGCTTCAACAGATGACAGAGGACCTTCTTCGGGGAGCATGACGATGACATAGCAGTGACATAGCAGGACGATGACATAGCAGGGGCGTTTTGTGAAGGAGGCGCGAAAAAGGAGAGGCAATAGGGGAAAAACGGGACTCGAGTATGTAACAGAAAGGAATGAAGAAGTGGGGGAGACGCAGAATAAGGACATTGCTCTTCGCGAGACTCTCGGATACTTGCAACACACAATGAGTTGTCGAACGGGTCGTCGTGGTTGAAAAAGGAGAAGAAGAAGAAGAAGGCATTCTGCTTCAGTATTCACCCAATGTGTTTGAGGGATTAGCCGCCGTGTAGCGCCAATGGAAGTTGGGGTCTCTTTTCGCTTCTGTGTGACCACCCTCTCTCTAACATACGAAATATCATTAGCAGGATGGTTCTGGACAGCGACAAACGAGACACAGAGGAGGCCAAATGGCTGGAAATGACACAAAACGAACTTGAAGAAAGATCAGCTGAGTTTATAGGACAGCGACAGGGGCTGCTTCCCGGAAATTGATAACAAAAGCTTGAGAATGCTTCGGTGTGTAAACTACTAGGCAGAGGAAATGAACAGCCACTGGGCACAAGGTGGTGATTGACCGAAGAGTGAAACTAATAAAGTAAGAAGAACAATTGCTGCTTACACTATTTTATTTTCGAAAAATATCTGAAACTGCATTTATCACTAGTTGTAGCGATCATTGGTTCTCGAGTTGGTTCTCTACGATGCCATTTTCGGAAGTCCTTGAGGACACGTGCCACCCGCTTATTGCTATTCTCGGATATATGGAATAAATTGAGAAATACGCGAGAGAAAACGGATCACAAGTTTGTGACTTAACCTGCGACCGATTTCAACAGGAAATGGAGGGTGGGGGAACAGAAAATGAACAGAAAACCAAACAACAGAGAGAAACTTTGTTTTTTCCTTCTATCAGAGCCATGAGAATACGACGGAAACAAGACAAACTTTATGAAACGGTCCGAGAAATAGTTCATTCAAAATTCAGAGAGAAGAGAGGATTGTTTTTCGAATTCGGCAATAGTTAGTGATTCAGTCTGAGACAAGCAACGGAAATCGGAATTCAACGCACAAGAATCTTTAACAATTGGAGCATTAAAATCAAGAACAAGAGAAACTTTATTGGCATGAAGGAAATTATTTTGTTTTCGGCGCTGACCTATCTATCTATTTTCTATTGCTCTTCTCTTTACGAAAAAGATCGAGGGAAAAAATAATTTCGGCTGAATATAAAAAAAAAGAAGAGCAAAATAATAAAGAACGAGGAAGCACGAGAAAAGAATCTGAAAATTCGCTGAAAAGTGCAAGTCGTAAGAGGAGACGCAGACAAAAATTGTGCAGAGGGGCGCGCTCGCAGTTTTTCAAAGCGCGCGAGTTTAAAATTCGAAAATTTTGCGTTCACCGGAATGTAGTGGAAAAGATCTAAAAAGGAATTTTCAGAACCTGAAAATCATAAATATTGTAATAATAGAACACCAATACACACAGTTTCTTCTTTTCTCCAAGTTCTCACTATCTTTAGCTTCATCGCTAGCTGTGTTATCCGTCATGTCTCAAACGAACCTTGACAGCACGGAAGTTCTGATCACAATTTCTTCTGTATTACTCTGAAAAACTTAAACAATGTTTTCTTCTAGACAGATATTCCTAGTCATAACTTTTTTTCACAAAGCCTCTGCACCGAGGACATGTTTACCAAACTTGTGACGAAAGAATCTAGACAAAACCTTCAGTTTTTTTCAAATAAATACATTTTTCCCATCGTAAATATATAAAGTACGTCCGTATATCAGCCATCATTCCACTAATGTGTAACAAATTGTCTGAAGTCAGTAAGCTTCTTTTTTTCTCCCCTGAACACTTTCCTTCTCAAGCTTCACCTCAAAATGTTCTCGTCGTTATCGTCATCATCTTCTCCGCCCTTTTCTACGTTTCCAACCAACTGATTGCGCAATACAATGAATTCGGCTTCTTCTCCGCGACTTCGTCACTATCTCTTCCGATCTCTATTCAAGTTCATCGGGGCGGGATCAAACCCAGCTTCTTCTTTTTACGCTTTTTGCGTCGAAAGACACAGGTAATCGAGGTAGTCATCAGTCAATCACAACTCGGATCACGATGTCGCCGATTCGGTACGCTCTTGTAGCGTTGTTGACATTTACTGCATCGATTTATGGACAACAAGGTAATCCACTTTTGTTTTAATTGTTTCTAATGGTCCTGTAGATTCACACTTGCCTCAATATTTGAAATATTTGAAATGCTTAATTCAGAGAACAAAGTTTGAAAGAATATAGCGTAAAACCTGTAATAGAACGGCCCCAACACTGTCAATATTGAGCTCAGGACCGAGAAAAACTGACTCAAAGTCAATAGTTAGGGGATCCTTCTATTACAGGTTTTACGGTAGTTGTGTCTTTACTGTAAGGTTACAGTAGCGCGGTTCCCGGATTAGTTTAAGAAATTTACAGACTTCTCAACTCAAGTCCAACCAAATAATGCTCAACCTGAAATTATTCGTTTCGGTTCGGGAGAGCCTGTGCGCGCGATTAAACCAAACCAGTTTCAAATCGAGCTACCCAATATCTATGACCCATTGAGAGAAGATCGTCCGAAAAGAAATAATAATCACGCAGGATACATCCGTCATCCGACATTCCAAGTACCACCTCAACAGCCAATTCAACAGTTCCGACCAGCTGGAAATGTCTATATTGCTCAGGTAGATCCAGATCAGCGTTATTAGGAATATGAAGTGTTTGTTTTAAGCCAAATCCAGCAGTAGTGAGACAGTATCCATTCCGTCCGGCTCCAGTCTTCCGTCAATATGTGATCCCTCAACAACAACAACAGTTCCAACCACAATTCCAACATCAAGGACAACCACAATATGTATCTCAACAAAAGTTCAGACCACAACAACCACAACAATACATTCAATATCCAAGATTTGACCTCCGTCCACAACCAGTTCGTCCAGTTCGTCCTGTTTATATTCAGGTGAGTTCCTGATATGGAATGCACCTCTACTAACACTGCCTTTTCAGTCAACCCCAGCACCAAGTCGCCCGTTTTACACTGAACGACCACAAGCGGCTTATGGAGATGAAATTGAAGATTCCAACTACTTGAATGTATGCATGTGACAATGATCACACCAGAATCAAAAAATCACAATAATTTGACTACCCCATAATTTAATTCACTTCTTCCAGAGTCGTATAACTCCTGGTCCAGTTGCCCCAAAATATTCGGAAAGACCACCAGCCCCTCAAGGATACTCTGAAAGACCACCAGTTCCTCAAACTTATTCGGAAAGACCTCCAGTAACACAAGGATATTCTGAGAGACCTTACTCTGAGAGACCAGCAACTCCTCAGCCATACATTGAGAAGCCAGTTCCAGCTCGTCCAGCTCCTTACATTGAGCCAACTCCAGTCCGCCCAGCACCATATGTGGAGCCAACAACAGCTAGACCACAACCAAGACCACAACCACCAAGAACCCGTCCGTACGTTGTTCCAACTACCAGACGTCCAGCTCCTCCAAGACCAGCCCCAACTGCTGCCGCTTACATTGAGCCAACCACAACCACTCCTCGTCCAACAACTAGAAGAGCTACCGTAAGCAGACTTTCAGATCCACCTGTAGGTTTAAGTTTTTGCACGTTTAGACGAAAAGAATAACCACTACCACCGCTGCTCCAACCACCACCACTCCTGCTCCAACCACACCGGCACCGACCACTACACCAAGAACCACTCCACGAACCACACCAAGAACCACACCAAGAACAACAACACCAAGACCAACCACAAGAGCACCATTACCACCTTCTCCACCACCTAGAACCACTAGAAGAACTACAACTACACAGGCAACAACTACACCAAGACCAACGACAACTCCAAGGCCAACTACTACAACACCGAGACCAACTCCACCAAGAACCACACGCAGAAGGACCACAACCACTCCAAGGTGCCTATCCACCTTTCACCCCCTTCTTCAATATTAGTTTTCAGACCAACTACCACTACTGCCGCCCCAACTACTACAACAGAGGTAACGCAAGGCTATGAGGAGGCTGTTGAGACTCCAGTAACATAATGCATGGTTTTTAAGGTTCACTAACTTTTTAAAATTCTCAGCAATACGACGAGACCTTTGTCGGACAGTACTATTATGGACGTCGTGGTGAAGGAGGTAACAATACTTTCCCACTTCCATCTTGCTTCTACAATCCATCTGGATACGTTTGCTGCAATCTGATGCTCAATGAGCTGATGACAACTTCGTTCGAAGAGGTTCGAGTCGCCACCAACCTCTGCAATGTTCACAGATTTGCAATTAAATTGCAAAAACACTCGGAGAAGATTTTCGATACCCAATTCGAAACTATCGTCTCTTATGAAGACTTTTCGCAAAAGATTCATTTCAAGAAGGATTTAGTTTGCAAAGTTGAAATCGAGGGAAGGTGCGTTCTCATAAATAAATTATTCGAGTTCTGATGTTTCTTTTTTGCAGATTCATTCTAGCGTACGCCACTCCCGAAGATGTCGAGCAGGAGAAGATTATTCCAACTGTTCCTTCGAAGGAGATCCAAAAGGATTCGTTCATTCTGAAGGAGGAGGTCAAGGCCAAGATTCGCCAAATCGAAAGGGAACTCTGAATCACCGTTTAGTAGTTTAAGAGAAAGAAGCGTTGTTGTATATTCTCAGAAACAGATTTTGATATGTGTAAATAAAGAATACTTTTGTTTTATTATTTTTTTGTTGAATGTGGTCTCAAAATCTGAAAAAAAACACACATCAGCTACTGTAGAAACCTGCGAAAAGCTGGAAAATCTAAAAAAATGCTAGTAATTTTGGGTCGTTCTGAAAGCTTATCAAGATACGGTAAAAACTTCAAATAGAAAAGCCTCCTGACATTCAATTTTGAAATTATCTCGATCCCTGTGAAAGATATCAAAATTTTGTCAATTAATAAATTATTTACCATAATATCACCAACATTTAATCAGTTGACCAAAATTTTATACCTTCCTCAGAAATCGAGATAATTGAGGTCAAGTGGACGGTTTGGGTTCACAGAGGGAGTACGGTAGATGTGCCACATGGAAAACTGTAAATACTGTATTTCCTGTAATATAAGCCCACCTAAACCGTCATCCATTGTGCTAAATTATCTCGGGTCCTGTGAAAGATATCGAACGGTGGTCAACTGAAAAGATATTTTAGATATTAAGACAAACATTTTGTACGTTGACTACGTTTCCATATCTCTTACAGGAAATGAGATGCATAAGCTCAAAGTTAATGAGTTGGGGGTGTTCTATTAGAATGTATTAGAATGTTTACGGAGTGTTGAAAAACGGATGATAGAATTTGCGATAGTCCCAAAAATTCTTGTTCTCAATTTTGACTGTTGGTGCTCTGAAAATAGTGAGACTTACTTGGGCATCAACACCGATCTAGAAGAAAGAAGAATCTGAAAATTTTCCCGCCGCTAATTGTAAGGGTTTCTATCCATTCCATGAGTGTAAGTCATCAAAGTCATCAAGATTCTTGACATCATCAAAATGTTTATTTCACTCCAAGCTGTTTTTTCGGATCAGTACCCTTTCACCATATTAAGCTGCCGTGTCTAGAAATATGAAACTGGATTGGCAATGAACCCATATGGGTAATCAACCTAGCGTTTTCTAATGAGATCAGAGTTCATGATGTTTCTTACACTGCTACAAATGAATGATAATCAAAAACATATAAAACTATCAGTGAATTACAATGAAAAAATGTTCTGGTGAAACATGCCGTTCAGTGTACCCTATACTTCTTTTCTTGAATTCTTTCTGACACGGGGATTCTCTGCTGATAACATCATATACAAATTAGAATGAAAGCAGACAGAGGAGATGGCAAAGTAAGAAGGAGCGATGAGTGAAAGTACTTGAAAAAGGAATGGGAAAAGAAGAAAAGGAGACAGAAGGTTGTTACACAATTGGATTTGAGATAATGATGAAAAGGTTTTTTTCAGCAGCTTGGAACATACACAACAAGACTATTATTTAGAGGCAAAGGGAAGGCGACATGTCATTTTCAGATGGTTTTTCAGAGAACAGTGGTTTTTGAGAATCTGATAAGAAAACGGGTATTTTTTTAAAAGAACAATGGGGTTGCAAATGAGTTTTTCTGCAAAAGAAGCGAAGATCAGGGCCATTTGACATATAAACCAGGTAGTTAAATTTCGAAGGACGGAAACAAAGGGCATTTCTTGAAAGATCAAGAGTCTATGAGCACCAAATGCTTGAGAAAAAACGCAAAAAATTCACCGTGTTTCATCTAATCGAAGCCCACCCGAATCGTCAACTTTGAGCTCAATTAACTCGATTGCTGTGAAATATATCAAACATTTGTCAACTGATAAATTGCTCATCATAATATCATCAGTATTTATGTCAGTTGACCACATGTTGGCATATTTCAAAGGAATCGAGATAATTGACCCAAACGAAGTGCTCTTGGCTGTGACCTGTGATGACTTCACTTTTGGACAGGATGTATGTCTTGAATCTTATAGCTTTTTCGGATTTTAAAATTCTATTTTCCAGGACACCAACAACGACCACTGTCGAGTGGACCAACACCACAGACGGCGGCGCCAAGCAGTGAATGGTTACAGGGATATGGAATGGTCCGTCGCAAGAACCTTCCGTCGAGTTCAGCCCATAAGATTTCATTGGAATAACGCTTTTGATTTCTTATGTTCACCTATTTTTGTATTTTAATTATGTCTACAAAGTCTGTCACCGTGACAACGGGGTTCATAACAATCAACAAATTTTTGGCTGAAAGCATTTTTTGGGGTTTTTGTACAGGGTGGCGCAGAATCACCCGGGCTGATAAAAACGAGTGTATCCTTAGACATAAGTGTCTTGGAAGCATGAAAATTGGTAGAGATATAATTTTTGTTTGATTTCAAACTACTGAAGTTTTCAAAGCGATTCCTCATGTCAAGGTGTTCCTATGATTGCCCAAAAAAATAATAGCTTGTTTTTCCTTGCCCACAGTTTTTTTTCATGAGATGAAGCAACTTTGACAAGTGAAAACTCAGCTCAAAATTGATCAAAAAATTTGAAATTTGGCTTTAAAAAATTTAAGCCCAGTACAACGTTCTGCTCCAGTTTTACCTCCAGAATCCAAAAATTGAATGTCACGAAAATCCAATTATTCCCCCATGCATGAAATTTTCTGAGCCTATTATCATCTTCAGTCTTTATCTTTGTCTTGGCATCTTTTTTCCTTTTTTTTCACCTCGAATTTTGCCACCTTCCTTTGAAACCGAAACCTCGGATTGAGTTTCACCAAAAAAATATTCTTCTTCTCTTCTCCTCTTTCCCTCCATACCTTCCGCCGAAAAGAAACATTTCCAAAACCCTGGTCAACTCCAACTTTTTCCTTTTCTTCTTCTTCTTTTTGTCCTCCAAAACTTTCGTGGTCTCTCATACCAAAATCGGGTAATGAACTCGAACTCAGTGACGACGAAGAAAACGGAAGACAAGGAAAAGAAGAAGAAGAAGAGGCTAGAAGGAGAAGAAGAAGAAGTATTGGGGCGGGACCCGTTTGGACAACATGCTCTTTTTTCCCGAAAAGCTGGCAGAAGAAGAAGAAGAGGCAGAGGAGCTCTCTCCTTCCTCACTCGGCCCGCACATGCCGAGAAGAGAGCACACTTCATCATCGATCGCCATACGTCGTCATGTCGTTTTTCGTTTTGTCCCCCATTTTCATTTCTTCTCCTTCCACCAAGTTTTCTTTTTGTTTATCTTTAATGCACCAATTATATTTATGGCTCTTCTTTTTTTTTAGATATTTGAAACTGATAGTGGGTTAATTTTTTAGGAACAACGAAAGAACCATGCGATTGTATCTACTGGGTGTGTTGGCAGCATTCTGCTTCTCAGGTGAGTCTTTGAAAAGTCTCAGGCTTTATCAAATTCATATCTGAATAGTGTATTTTCTGACCGATTGGTCTCGGCCGGCTATCGGTCGGATGGGTTGGCCTCTTATCATCCTAGCATTCAATTAATTCTGTAGATCAAAAATCGTTAACCAATTCCAATTTTCAGAAGCCTTGACCGCGACAAATTGCTCAACAAAAGGCGAGATCTCGTGCTATTCCTGCATGGGTCGCGATATGGAAAATTGCCAATCTGGACTGACTTGTTGCAAAGGAGCATGCTTCAAATTAGAAGATATTAGTGAGTTTGTTTCCGGTTCCCATATTATCCATCCATCCAGCCATACATATTCATGATGATGATTTTAGAACATAATGTAATCGTGAAAGGATGTGTGAATAACAGAGAAGAGGATGCATCGATGAAGGTGCGAGAGCTCAACGTGCCACTCTATTGGGCCAACAAGGAGAAAGTCAAAGGTGAGAGGAGAAGGAACGAAGAGATAGGGGAAAAATATGGGACGCGCTTTTTGAAAAAGAGAGATATGGAAAAAGAAGAAAACATAATAAGTCACATAAAATGGGATAACTCATGTTCTAGTTTTGAACTTTTAAGACACAAAAATGTTTTAATTTCAAAGGGGACTGGAGATTTTTCAGAGTTTTTTGGGCCTATACGAAAATATTTTCAGTTGATTTTCTGCCATTGTCACCATTTTCAGAAGTCTGAAACTCGGCTGTCAAGTTTCCGAACTTGACTTGAAAACTTTGGAGGGTCCTAGACAGACCAAAACTAAAAACTTAACATTCACAGATTTTTTTAAAAATTCTATTTTTCAGCTATGATGTTTTCCAGAAATCGGCAAATAGCTTAGAATCAAGGAATTTCCAAAAAATTCTGTGAATGCAAAGTTTTCAATCTAGGTCTGTTTTACACCTTCCAAAATATTCAAGCTGATCGGAAACTTGACAGCCGAGCTCCAGAATCTTGAAAATGGTCAAAGTCTACTGAAAAACCACGGTTTTCGAAATGTTTCTGGCCAGCACTGTAGCTCAAAATCACAGAATTTTCAAAAAATTATGTGAAAGTTTTTCATCTAGGTCTGTTTTATAAGAGGTCTGTCTAGGTCTGTTTTATATTTATGTTCTCTCCAAAGTTTTCAAAATGATCGGAAACTTGACAGCTAAGCTCTAGACTTCTGAAAATGATCAAAGTTGCCTAAAATCCATTGTAAAAGTTTATGAAGGAATTTTCGAGAAAGTAATATTTTCCATGTCCTCTCATCTTCAAAATGCTCATTTTTGAATTATCTTTTCCAGGAGAATCATTCTTCTGCACTGGAAAAGAATTCTGCAACGAGACATCTCGACTCAGTCTGCTCGCTTCATTCTTCACTGCTATTCTGGCTTTCGTGATCATCAAATAACCCATAGTTCTCTTTATATCCTTCTTCTGCTTCTATAGGAATTGCTCCTTCTTTTTTGTTCTTTATCAGCAGTACAAATAGGTTTTTTTCTTGAACCTCCACGCAGTTTCCATGAAACCCATTCCACCTTTTTCGTCCTTCCCCCCACCCCTTGCCTTAATTTTTTATTGTCTTGTCAGAATTCCTTAAAATTTAAGCTAAAATTTTTATTATTTTTTTTTCACATTAACCCGAATTTTTATTTCATGAATATTGATAGAACAATAAATGTAAAAACAACAAAAAATGGAACAACAGATAGGGAGAAATGGGGAATAAAAGAATATAACCCGTGCAGCACACAGAAATTAGAAAAACGGAAGGAAAAAGTGACGAAAAAGGCATCACTTGTCTTCAGGGAATTCCTAGGATGAAAGTCGCAGACGAAGACACTGGCATACATCAAAAATGGATACAAAACGACAAAATGCGGGCGTTTCCTGAATCATTGGTTCAAAGATTAGCTGACTTGTGTTCTTCTCGACAAACAATTCCGTTCGCACGAGCATGCTCAATGGATCCGAGTTCTTGTAGGAACCACTGACTGTGAACTCGAAGTTGAGATACTGAAAAAGATAAATCATTAAATTAAAAATATGAAAAAGATTCTCCCCGGCCGGGAATTGAACCCGGGTCTCGCATGTGACAGACGCGGATACTCACCACTATACTACCGAGGACACGATGTAATGAAGAACTAGATGACATAGAGAAAGAGCGTACGTAACGTTTCTTTTTGTTAGAGAACGAGAGAAAATATTCACGTAACTTTACACTAATACATAGCAAGAGCTACTTTTTTTGAATTAGCGACCTCTTTTTTGAAAAACAAAATAATTTTTAAAATCTATAACCTACATTCAGTTCTGAGTTCTTCTTATGCTTTTCCTGCATCATTTCTATAGCCGTTGCGTTCTTTTTCGTGCGGAGACCAAATCGACTGTACGGATTGATCGCCATCTCTTTGAAATCATTGCCGGTTTCCAAACTATTAACATCTATGCAATCATCCAGCTTCTCCGTTTTCAGCCAGCTTTTCAGTGTATCAAATTGATCCTGCAAGAAGTCCAATGTTTCTCGTAGTCTGCGCTCTCTTCTCCGTTTTGCCCGCCGCATTCATCTTGACCCTCTACCATCATGACGAAACGTGGCCTTGTGGCCTAATGGATAAGGCGTCTGACTTCTAATCAGAAGATTGCAGGTTCGATCCCTGCCTGGGTCAAATGTTTTTGTTTTCTTCTCTTACCTTTTTCTGCTCGACCGTCTTCTTTTTTGTTGTATTTGGTAGAGGATTCGTCACATTTGCCACGTCGATCATACACATACAGAAGTTCTCAGCAACGGTGACATCAGGGCACATTCTTGTATTGGGGATTACATCAAAAAGACTAATCCCTCTTCCCTCATCTGCTTTTCCTTTGTTCTCACCTAGCCTCATGTGGACAATATCATGCAGCATTTTATGTACATCAAAATTACTGGAAGAACTAATATTATGCCGTTTCAAGGACTAGGTCTAACCTTGTCAACTTGAATTTGTTGTCTAAAAAATTATTATATTCTTCTGGATACTTTTCCTTGAAACCATTGGGAAATCTAACTGCCATCAAAGGCATCCTCTCTTCAATTCTTCCATGATACCTTCTCTGAACCGCTCCAATTCTGTTCCCATGATCTCCCATTATTATGGAGAACGTATTATCCAGATCGCCTTCCAGATGCATTTCACTTAATCTGGCTGCTAATTTCTCATCTAGGACTTCCATAACAAGTCCAGCTTCATGGGTTAATCTGAATCAAGAGTTTTCAGGAATAGAATAAAGGAAATGGAAAATTACGTTGTAACAAAAGTGAATCCAAAATGACAAATATCCCTGTATCGATGAGCAAATCGCCTCCAAATGTTGATAAACTCATTTTGTAATTGTTCTCCATCTCTGCAAGCCTCATACCTCCACTTCTCGTACACTGCGAGATAATAGACCCGGTAATAGTGGTCGGCTGGATTCTCAGTGAATCCTGAAAAATAACAGTCTGAAAAATTGAAGCGGTGTTTAGCTGACCTGGCTGGAATTCAGTTGGTGGATAGTTGAACAGTCCCAAAGATTTTCCCGAAATGTCCTCGTTGAACAAACTTTGACATCCATATTCTGAATCAATTAAACATTTTCAAAATCGAGCGATATAATGTCAAACTAACTTTCTTTCATGATCTTCCATAGAAAATTCAATTTCGTTGGATCCATTCTATCTTCCGTCGGAAGAATCCAATTGATATTGATGTCTCCAGATGCGTCGAATTTCGGTTTTTTCAGCGCTTCTTCCATATCACCGACCAGAATCGGAGCAAGGTTTACCATGGAGTTATCAGCCACTTTTGTATAACCATAAAGGTAATGATAGTCTAGTTTTGCCATCACTTCAACGGTTCGAGGCATGTGTCGCAAGAACATGGTACGAGCGGTTGAGTCGAATCTGTAGAATGTTGGGTGATTAAAAGAAAATGAGAGTCGGCGAATTACCCAAGAATATCAACAGAGTATCTGTCGACTGTTTTTGCTACTTGGTCTCTCAACTTGTTACCGTAATCACTGTATGAGTACAGATCTTTGACTCGGAGAACCTACAAAAAATTGGTGTCATTCAAAAGAGACTCCTACCAAATTTTCATTTAAAACATGTTCGAAAAGTCATGATTTTACTGATACAATGGAAAATTTTCATTCCGAAATCAACGAAAACCACATTGAACGGAAAAGTTTCGCTTAAGAAGGTGGTGAACAGGGACGAGAATTTGAATTTCCGCGCAGTGAGAAACTCAAATTCTCGTCCCTATTCGTCACCTTTTTTTCAACGTTTTTTTCGGGGATTTCGGGGATTTCGGATTTTTTTCGAATTTTTTTCTAACATCTGGAAATTACATGATTTTTCAAACATTTTAATTTACTCATTTTTTAAATTCTGGTCAGAGTCCCCCTTTAAACTCCAAGCTGGCCAAAAAATCAAAGACTATATTCTGGTGCTCACCTCATCTTCCGGAAGATTCTTATCCTTCATTCCAGGGAATGGCTTCTTCCAAATTGGAACTTCTGGGTTCACAGCTTTCTTTGAAGTATTATAGCAATGAACAATGAATGCATCGGCATTCACGAACAATCTCTCGTTTGAAGGAATCTGAACTTTGTTTTCAAAATTAACTTCCCAACATCTCTTAATGTAAACCAACATCAATAGTTTTCTTCACAATTATATCATTCTTGGTCATATTCCGTTTTTCTTGTCTCAATCCTCCTTCAATTATATCCACTTTGCATTCAATATCTCTCTCGATTCTTGGCCAGTCAACAAAATGTGGATGAGCATAAATGTATCCTTCAGTATCCATCGACGCATAATCTTTCACTTTGACTTCACATTTCAATGTTCGCATTCTTTCAGACAAGTGGAATGGCTGAAAATCAATGGTGATAAAAGTACAGTAATCTATATTTATACCATAATATCCTCCGCATAAATATTGGGAACTGGAAATTTGCAAGTGTTATTGAATGGGTGATATGTGAGAAGGGGATTCAATTCCATTTCAGACTTCGGTTCGTCATCATCGTCTCCGAAAACATTCATGTTCAATAGTTTATCTATTGCAGATTCTCTGAAATTCTTATTGATCAATAAAAATTTAAATTAAAAAAACCAACTCTTTTCTCTCGGATAAAAATCTGGATGCTCTGTTCATGCTGTCGATTGGAATGAATTGATTAACAGTTCGAATGTTGGTGGTAAAAAGGAAAGCGGCAAGAAATGCAAAACCAATCTGAAATTTATAAAAGTTGTGAGAGAAACTTTAAAGGTGGGGGGACATGAAAAAAATAATGTTCTCGAAATTCCGTTCAAAGATGCCCCTCGAGGAGTTGAACTTGTGAGGGCGATGATTGAGGGTGCGGCGCCGCTACCGACTGAGCCACGCGGGCAAAGAGAAAGCGCACGCCCGTTTGCATACATAAAGGCGAGGACGACAGCTGTACGCAGAGTGACATTTAACGTTGTAAACCGTGACGGTAGAATGCATACTCTAGCTACAAAAAAACTACGAAAAATCTCCTGTCCCCCCACCTTTAAGTATTTAGATACAGAAAGTTTTTTATGCTATTTTGGTTACCGTAAACCTGTAAAAGAAGAGTTCCATAACTTTTAACTTTGAGACAATTCCCGGTACATATCAAAAAGTTGCTAATTGATAAAATGTTTATCATAATATCAGAAATGCTTTGCCAGTTGACACATTTTTGATATCTTGCATAGGAATTGAGATAATTGAGCTCAAACTTGTGGGCGCCCTTCTATCACAAGTTTTATAGGAGGCGACTTTTACTATCAGGTTGGACCCCATATATCTCGATTCCTATATGAAAAATAAAAAAGTAGTCAACCTACAAAATTTTTATTATATTATCACAAACATTTTATCAGTTTACAACTTATTGATATCTTTTATAGAAACCGAGATATATGCGCTTAAACTTAAGTCAGGAGACCCTTCTACAGTGCGGTCAATATCTTTAAGACCCCCCTTGATTTTGGGCGCACAAAAAAAACTAGAAGAGATATCAAAAAACTGTAAACGTCATTCGATTCAAAATTAAAAATAACCTCTAGAGACAAATTTTCATAAGTTTAGCACTATCCCTGTCCGTGTACCATCCAAAAAACCCATAATATGCATATTATGCAAGCATTTCACGATTTTTGCTATCTTTGAGAGAATTTTTGGTTTTATGGAAAAATACAGCGTTCTACTTTCTGGAACTCGATAAAATTTTATACTTTTAGAAAGCTCTCATTCTCTTTGTTGTTATTAAATTACTTGACTAATCATAATTGACCGAACTTTCCCAAAAATCTTCTCAATGTTAGCCCCAAAACTCATTAAACTGCCCAGCTCCGACTTTAAGAATCTTTGCCCATCTGAATTCTGCCTGATTTATTTCCAAAACATTAAAAAGGAAATAAGAGCTTTATAAAAATATAAAATTTCATCGAGTTCCCTGAAGTATGTAGAACGCTGTATTTTTCCATAAAACTAACAATTCTCTCAAAGTTAGCAAAAATCGTGAGATGAGTTTTCAGAACCCAATTTCTGATCAGGAAACTTTCAGAAACCGTTGTCATTTGATTTAAAACTATCTAAAAACGATTTTTTGACTGGTATTTGATACGTACAAAAAAATTTCTCATGAAAATTATCACTGGAACATCGAAAAATCCGGGGGGATCTTTATTGACCGCTTGCATATGGGTTTTTGGATGATACACGGACAGGGATAGTGCTAAACTTATGAAAATTTGTCTCTAGAGGTTATTTTTAATTGTGAATCGAATGGCGTTTACAGTTTTTTGATATCTCTTCTAGTTTTTTTGTGCGCCCAAAATCAAGGGGGGTCTTAAAGATATTGACTGTATTACAAGTTCTACGAAAATTGTGATTTTTCAATATTTTATTTTTTCAAATAAAATACAAATTGTTGTCTACAATAGAAAGCTTTTTCCGATTTTTTGAAGCAAAAAGACTTACCATAAAAAACCGAAACGGATGAACTTTCCGTTTGACATTCCGAACCCACATGATCATCTCTGAAAATTATTAGATCGTTTGCCAAAAAATGAAATGAATCTGATAGAGTTCGAGATCTCTTCCGCTTTCTCTCTTTGCTCTTTTACATTGCCAACGTTTCTAGTTTGCAAAAAGTTTGTACAAGCTGTTCAAACTTGTTGCAAATCTCTCAGAGGACAACTAGATCATGAGAAGAAATTAGAAAAAATTAAAACTGAAACAATGGAATAGCGAAGATGTCAGAATGAACAAGCCAAATGTATTTTTGAAACCCATCTATGTTTCAATATTCAAATTTTGCAAAGACAAAAAAAAAGAAACATATCCAGATCAATTTCAAAGTCATGAGATGAGAGAGGACAACTGTTCAAACTTGGACACGAATCGGAAGTTCAATTACAAAATGAGGATGCCAGTGATGTCTTATTCATTTGGTTGGAAAGAGGACCCTTAAAAATTGGGTGTAACTGTTTGAAAATGCATGTAGTGGGATGAATCATCAAGTTGCTCTTCGATCTTTTGTGTTCTGGTGTTTTTTGTTGAAGTACAGGGACTCTCAGATTTATCAGAATAGGGGTCTAGGTTTTTCTTAATTCAAAGTCAAGTCTAAAGCTATAACAAAGCTTTCAGTAAGCTTCGTGAGAAATGGGAAATGTGCAAAAAATGGATGGATGTGGAGGGAATGGTGGTAGTTAGAATGAGTGAGTTGGTAAGATGATTGAAAGAAGGATCAGAAATTGAAGAAAGTTTTTTTTGAGGAGCAGCAAAAGTTTTTATCTTTTTGTATCAATTCGTTGTAGCTGACATTCGCTTATTACTAAAAGAAATTGTCGAAGAAGAGCATACAGGGTGGTGCATAAATACCCGTACTAAAGTTTGTATTAGCATAACATTTGAGTAGAGAGCTGTACTGGGCTCCAATTTGGACTGCGAAAATTCAAATAACTCATCAGTAAACTGGCCAAGTTTCAAATTATTTAATCATTTTTGAGCTGAGTTATCGCTGGTCAAATTTTCTTCATCTCATGAAAATCACAAGAAACATTACGCTGTTCGTCTTTAGACAACCATAACAATACCTAGACTTGAGGAATCGCTTTGAAAATTTCAGTAAATTTTAATCAAACGAAAAATTATATTTCTACCAATTTTCGTGCTTCCAAGTTACCTATGTCTAAAGATATACCCGTTTTATAAGTTTGGCCCACCCTGTAAAACAATAAGGTGTGGGAAAAAGGACAAATTCTCGATCTTGGAAAATACTCGATCACTTTCGAAAGACAGGAAATCCTATCACTTCACCTATTCCGTTCTTTTTTTTGTACTATCAAAAAAGTAGAAGAGATCCATTTCGGAGAAACCAAATGTTTGGATAGTTAACTGCTGAATTTCTTCATGTTCGAATGTTTAAAAAAAAAGACGAAACAATATTTTCAGCAATAATGGGAAAACAAAGATGGCAAAAATCATCATATTCGCATGATTTGCATATCTTATGATTCTGCATAAGAAATCTTTGAAAAAAAAACTCCAAACTGGCAAAAACGATCTCTGGGTTCAGCGGGGAGAACCGTCTTGGATTTTTTATGACCATCAAAAGAAGTGAGGAGTATACCTTTGAAAGTTGCGGAAACTATAACCAATGTACAGATTTCTGTGTTTCTTGCAGAAATAACAAAGAAAAATCAGTTATGGATGTTTGATTCAATTTTTTTTCAGGATTTTTTAGTATTTGAAGTTTGATTAGCTGGAAAAGCATGTAAGGATCCAGGGAAGTGTATCGAAAAGATCATTTGAAAACTCGGAGCTGTGGAAGAGAAACGCCGCTGGCCGTGGCAGAAGGTCCCACAACGACAACTACAGTAACCTGAAATATTTCTTATTTGAATATGTTCACTGGTTTTGAATGATTTTCGTCAATGTTTTCTGTTACTTTTCCCCAAAAATGGGAAAGTTGAAATTCTCCATGAATTGTGAGAAAATTAAATAAAATTTGTGTTGTTAAGAAGTTGAAAACCATCAGAATGGCTGTTAAGAGAATCTGATTGGAATTCAAAGATTATCAAAAGTGGAGAAAACAATCGAAATACCATTAAAAATCCAAATGCGCCGAAAGCGCCCCATCTCTCGTTAGAACTTCAGTTGACCTCTATTCCGAAGGACATGGACCATAAAATTAACATGAACAGCTGTTGAAATATTGTCTGTGTTTGTTCGAAAATCGTCCATATCCGGCATTCTCTTTGCTTGTGAAATCATATTCTTTTATTGTTTTCGCACTTCAATTGACATCTCTTTCTAAAGTTTTTGTCTTGCAATACATAAAATACTCTCACCAAACTTTATTCTTCATACACCGGTCATTTACAATTGTAGGCAGAAAAAAGGGAAATGAGGTTTCTAGTCACCAAAAGAGAAAAATACATAAATTTAAACCGCGTTTTAAACCGAGAACTGTATGGAGGGGAAAATAAGGCGCATTAGTGATTAACGAATTGAGCATACTGTAGGTTGGATGTAAACATGTAGATCACTGGTTTTTGTGCAAAAAGAGCATAGAAAGAAGTTAGGTATCATGGGGATAGAGAGGAGGTGTGTGAGGAGGAAATTTGAAACCCGTAAGATGAAAAATCGCCGGCAAAAGGTGGATAAAAAGAAACATAAAAAAGAGCATAGAACACGATAATCGACTAGATGATCTCAAATACGAATGGCACACTATTCGAAACAATTATAACAAGAAAAATTCGAAAAACATAAAATGGCTATTATTTTACAGTGATGCCCCAAGAGTGTGGCGAACTTTTTCGGTCCATTCATCCAGACAAGTTGAGCATTCAGGAGGTGAGCCCACGACGGCAGGCTCCGCGTGAGCACACTGAGCATATACACGAATTTTGGAAGATACATCCAGAGACGATGAGGGGATCTGGAAGCAAATAAAAATCATTATTAGCAGAGATTCCATAAAAATTCTTACCGTAGGACAATTCACAGGTTTCGAGGCAGTTGTGAACGAATCGAGCATCGCAATCTTTTCATCAATGCTGAGTGTACTTTGAACACGTTCATCATTCCATACAGACGGCCACAGCTGAGCGATTTGCTTTCCTTTCCGCATAGAATCAGACATCGGCACATGTCGGAACGCAGCAGACAGAGCTTCACGAGATTGCACGTCTTCATGATTTGCCATGACGTCCCAAACGAGAGAGGATAGTGCTAGCAGAGATTTGTTACTTGTTGCACCGTCTTTTTTCAACCATTCAATCATTCGAATCGCTTTTTTAACATCACCAGCAATCAAATGAACGAGCGCAGTCGTTGTACAGAGTGGTCCGTCTTCTCTATTATAGACTTCCTGTTTCACTTTCTCCGTACTACTATCATTTTCTTCTTCAATGATACTGCTCCCATTCATTTTCAATTCAATTGGATTGCACAAATGTTTTGAAACAGCTTGAACAACGGTGATATCCGATGCTTTCAGCCTATCCACAAACTCTTCCTTGTCGACACCTTCCAACTCACTGTTTTTCGACGTTCTGACTCGAACATCAGGAATGGAACCAGGCTTCTGTACGAATTGACTGTCATCGACATTTGGCATGAATCTACGGCCATCTCTCGCTTGGAAGAAGAATTTCTTCGATGCATCGGATGTTGTTCCATTCTTCTTTGTAACAACTCCACACTGCCCAAACTCATTCTTCCCCCACGCGTAAACCGATCCGTCATCTGTGGATCCAATGGTATGATTGTTACCTGAAACGAAAATTATGATTAGAAAATTGCCAAAATCTTAGAAATCTCACCAAGGGATACGTTTGTCCATTTCACTTCATTCGGTTCAAAGACTTGATGAGGTTCCATCCGTTCAGTCTTGTTTCCGTGACCCAATTGATAATCAAGACCTTTTCCCCATGTGTACAACGATCCTTCAGAGGTTATCAATGCCGAATGGGACAGACCACATGCTATCTTAACAATACTTCCGTCCAAAAAATGTTTGACTTCTCGAAGACCAAGGTCTTCTCTTGGAATTTCAGCTGGTAGATTGAGATTGACACGTGGAGCAGTTCCATTGACAGTGGGAGTAGGAGTAGGTGAATTTGCATCTTCGGTGTTTTTCAATTGAGCACTTCGAATCTTCTTCATAACAAACATTCGCATTTTTAGCTCTTGTGGATTACGCCCCCATTCGAATATCCTGTTTTCATCAGTGACACAAATGGAATGATAATAATGAGTCGCAATAAAATTGACACGAAATGGTCCGAGAGGAAGAGGTGTGAAAGAAAACGACTTTTTGATATCCTTATCCACTCCCATTTGCCCGTAGCTCCCAGATCCACAGACCAATACTCTTCCGTTCTCGGTCAACACAATAGTGTGAGCTCTTCCACATGCAACTTGTGTTACTTTCGAAATCAATCCGTTTACTTTAGTTGGAACAAGAATGTTCGAGTTGAAACGTCCGCCTTGTCCGAGTTGTCCCCAGATCCCCCATCCAAACGTCCATAGAGATCCATCAGAGCAAATGAATGCAGAGTGAAATTGGCCACATGCAATTTTCTCAATTGAAGGCCAATCTCCATCGATTTGCTGCAGGTTGGCAAGTCTAAATGCATGTCCAACACCACACTGTCCGTGCTTATTTCCTCCCCAAGCGGATAATTGTCCAGAAGAAGACAGTACAAGAATGTGTTCTGCTCCACAGGCAATGGCTCTCGGCCGACCACCTGGATATTCGAGTACTCGAGGAAGCTGCTGAAATTTCAACCAAATTGACGAGGTGAATAGGGTCTGCGAATTATTCACTTACTTGTTCTGGCTTTGGTGGTGGTGCTGCTGGAGTTCCATTCGTCGCAGAGTCTGACCTTTTCGCTTTTGCATTGATTTGTGGCATCTCCATTCTCTGTTGCGCATTCGTGAAATTTCCCCAAATCATAAGTCGATCGTCCTCTGCGATTGCTGCACCACAATTGTTACCACCGGAAAGCGGAAGGAAATCGGGAAGGTTAGATGGATTTATAATTTTCTTCTCAGCCAGAATGTGAACGGACGAGACCAAGGAGAGGATTTGGCAGGGTCTAGGGAAACGGTCTGCATTGGTGATGGCTACTCGGAGACACATTTCATGGTACGAAGGGAGACTTATATCTCTTTGCCATGCCGATAGAAGAGCACATACTCTGGCACCATCCGTGTCTGCCAATTTTGACCAATCCAGATTACACACGAGGGACATCACTTGCAGGCGATCAGTTGAATTCAGAGCTTTCCAAATCTGAATTCCATTTTTGACGATGTAAGTCAGAACTTCTGTTGGAGCAGTAATTGAGTTCGTTTCATGAGAATCCCTCCTCACGAGTGTTTGCGTGCATTTCCACATTCTAACTTTCGCACATTCGACTGCTCCTTTGTGAAGATGCTCATGCCGTGCTAAGAAGTTTCTGAAAAGAAAGGATAATTTTTGAATTTATTAATTAAATTCTTTAAAAACTTACGACAACTCTGCATCGTACTCTCGAATCTTTTCCATATTCCCTTCTGCCGAAATCGCTCGTTTCACAAACATCTCAACGACTCGTTGCATCAGATTGTCATGCTTCGATGGATTAGTTTGAATTGTGTTCAACACCTGAAACGCCAAAGAATCAATCATTTGTTTTTTGGTAGAGGTGATGAAAAGAGTGGGGAATGAGAGATAGATGAAAAGAGCAACCAGATGGTGGTGATGCTGGAAAAGTTACCTCGGGAAGCAGTTGTTCACCAATCGATTCATTCTCGAACGCTTTAAGCAGGTCCGACATTGATAGCTGGAATAGAACTAGATTTATTACATCAGTTTAGAGATAAACTCACATTGATGCACTTTGAAATCGCGTAGATCTGTGCCAACTCCTTGTTCGTCAGAAGGCGATTCTTCCTGGCGCCCAACAGATTCGGAATCAGTGCGGATTGAAATTCGGCTGTATCAATTCTGCACGCATTTGCGACCTGAGCCACCGACTTCGAAGTAAGCTGAAGGGGGGAGAGTCGGAAGAAGAACTCGGATACGATCTTTATGAGGCTTCTGGAAGAAAAAGTGTTTAATGGATTCCCAGCAAACGAATTGCAGCTGGACCGCCGCCGCGGCTAATAATTTTATGAAAACGATGAGTGACACTGGGGATGAAGTGAGAAGAAGAAAGGTGGGAACAGAGATATAAAACAAAAGTTATGGGTTCGGAAAGAAAGACATCTGAATATAATCAGAAAGACGGACTAGCTCAAAAATGAATTTGAGGGAATCAGGCACCATCACACACAATCAAAATCAAACTTTAGACAAGCTGAACCGAAATTTGGGCTCTTTCTCTATCTCTGTCAAAGGATGGGAATGATTGCGTCTCTTCTCACAATCCACACTGAAGAGGAGCAGAGGAGAAAGCAGGAAGAAAGCGAGAGAAAAGGCGGTCGAACACAGCTGTTTCTAGGTCTCATCGTTTTTCGTTTTCTCCCCGATATCGAATGGTTCTTCTAACATATCACACATTGAAAATAGTATCAGGTCAGATTTAGGCAGTCTAGTGTTTTTAGAATATTCCAAACTTTTGAATCTAAACGTTAATCCTAGACCCAGAACTTCTTGGTTTTACCAGTAAACATTTGGAAAGAGTATATCTCTTACTATGAGGTAGTATGTGATTGAAAGAGAGGAAAAGAAGAAATAAGTCAATCGGCGGGAGGGGAAGGAGGTCCCTGCTCTTCAGGTCACCAAAAATCATCATGAAACTTGAGTGGGGCTCAAAGAATTTTCTGAATTTTATAGACACAAGAGACAATAACAGAAAAATGCTAAGACTATGTTTCTAAACAATTTGGAGAGTAACGAAGAAAACAGCAGACGACGAGGCAGATGTCCTAGTCTCTTTTTTGCAACTGTGCAAATACCAAGATGAGCGGTAATCGGTTACCCATCATCGCGCTTACGCTTCACCGGATTTAGTTTCGGAGATGATGGGGGTAGTATGAAAAACAGAGAGGACAGAACACATTATCCGTTACATAGTCGGCAGAATAGACGAGTCAACTTTGATATATAGAACTTTTTTTAGGCATACAAATTTCCCAAGGGAATTTCTGGGGCCTCCTCATGAATCTTGTTGATTTTTGATAAGTGTTGTAACTAGTATTAAGAAGAAAGAGACTCACAAGGCATTCGACTGTTCAACACGAACCAAACCACGCTCATTCACAACAAATATTCCAGCTAATTTGTGCTGGCGAGACGGCATCGCGACGATTCCAAGCGGGCGCCAATTAGTCGAAGATCGTACCAGCGAATACTCCAGTCGTGTTGACATAAACTGAAAATTGTTTTTGGAAAATATAAACAAATTCCTATAAAGCTAATTACCCCAAAATGAAGAGCGCTCCTGATCTCATTCTCATTTGAAACTGTGAAAAGAACGTTGTCCCCAGCATGAACCATCCATGTTTCCGGCGGGACTTTATATGTTCTTTTTGATGAATGGGCTAGCGAATGAAACGTGTTGTAGACTTCGACTATCGAATCAGCAGTATCCAAGGCAATAACGCCACAAGTGTCGGCTGCGAAGAACTGCATCGTGGCTGGTTCTAGCTGAAACTTTGAAACAATTGAATGAGATAAATATTGATTTTCATGCATATTTTCAGCCATAATCCTGGTTAGTATATAAGCGGATTCACATACCCTAAAACCTTTAATAAAAGGGCCCCGACACTGTCATGTTTGAGCTCACTTATCTCGGTTACTGTCAAAGATAACAAAATTATTTCAATTGACAAAATGTTTTTGATATTATGATAAACAATTTATTAGTTGACAATTTTTCAATATCTTTGACTGGAACCGAGATAAATTGGTCCAAAGTTGAAAGTTAGGGAACCCTTCTATTACAGGTTTTACGGTAATTTACAGATAAGCACACAAGAATTTAACATGACGATTTGGCATGAGAGGCAGCTGCGAAGGGGGGAACAAACCTGCCAAAGAACAGAGCACTCCATCTCGCCAAAAACCTGAATGGGTTAATTCTAGAGGTTTGAAACTAGGATCCAACTCCAAACTACTAGTGATTAATTAGAAATTCTCAAACATAACTTACCACACTAAGATCTGATGGTACGCATGTTGTCAACACTTCTCGAAACCCTTTCCCTCCTCTCTCGATCGGAATCAACCATTGTGCTCCGGTAAACCCCGTGACTAAGAGTTCGATGGAGTTCTCATCAAGAAGTATGTCAATCTGGTGCAAGCTTTCTGGTGCTTTCAACTCTGAGACACATTTCCTGAGGTGCAAGTCCACGAGAAGGATGTTTCCTGCCTGTAATAAAGATTTATTTTTGTATCTACAAGATGTCATGTTTGCAGGGATGTTCGGAATGGTTTTTTTTTCAGAATCGAGACCTGGAAGCTAACTAACTCTTCATGTGCGCCTTTGACATACCGTAGTCCAAAAGTTTTCTAATTTCGAACACAAGCTTCGGAAAATCCGGAATTCCTTTCCCTGTTTCAGTTGTCTCGTTAGCATTTCTTTGTTTTTGTACCGCTTTGTCAGTGTTTTCGTGGTATTAAACTATTAGTAAAGTGTGAGCTGTCAGCTGTTATCTTTTCTTCTGTTGAAAATGTTCATGGCGCCGCCAGAGAGCGTACAAGATAACATTCCATCGTTCGAATGCCGCAAATCACAACACTAGATATCTTCTTTCCTCTCATTTGAACATCGCATTGATAATGATTGGGTGCGAGAAAAGTGATGAGCTCATTCTATCCCATCACACATAAAACTCACTTTATTCGCAACCACAGCCATCGTGCAAGGCGGAAAATTGGAGATGAAGCACTTGGTGCAGGTGGGCGTGGCCAAACACGGATCCACAGATGGTAGACCCAGATCGATGACAGTATTTGTCGCCCATGACGAACCGCCCCACGTCACATCCTGGAATCAAAAGTTTTTAGAAAAACACATAGATTTTCAGTGTCATTATGAGAGCTAATATATCAAAGTAATGTTGGTTCTTCCAGAAAGAAGTGTCTGGAAGGATTCGTTGTGGGAACGCGGAACACATGACACTAACTTTTTTGCTTGTTGTCTCTGTTTTTGAACAAATGACACATGTAGAGAATTTTGATCTTGACATGGATTTCGAAATAAAAAACAAACTTACAATTAAAATCCTAATTGGAGTTACGAGAAGATTCCCATCGCCAAGGCCAAAGATAACGAATGCAGCTTGCTCCCTGTAGAGAGTCAATTTTTAAAGAAGAAAGAGGTGATCCCTGTGATGGCACACGGAACAGATATTTTTTCGGAAGTTCGAAAATATCGAATTTCATAGTGTTTTTGTTTGTCTGTCATCAGCAGCACTCACCAATGCACACCGTCACCGGATTGACACTAATTGAGCACGTCGTTTTGATGTTCACAACATTTTTTCGCGGTTTTGTATCTCGACTCGTCTCCAGATAAGCTTGAACGTCTCCTGTCGAAGTGAGCAGCAAAATGAGAAGAAACGAGTCATCACTGAACACCGAATAGTCGATGATGGAATCGTCTGCCGATAGTTCGTCTAGCTCCAGACTGCACACATAGGGATTTTCCATCATCTTTCGTCGTGCTGAAATTTCGGAAGACTATGATGAGTGTTCTAGGCGGTCGTGGAAGCTGCGGTGTGTTGACTGATCGGCGGTAAATCTAGGAGAAGTTCACGCAGAAATTACAGTAGTCTGACGACGCAGTTTAAAAGCGCATCATCAGTCCATCAGCGAAAAAACGTGTTTTAAAGTGCATGCGCCTTCAATACCGTATCTCTCACAATTAAAATTTGGCACATTTTTGACAGATTCAAAGATTAATGAGAATCAGACGAAAATTTCCTACAAACCTTTCTTGCCACTTTGTCGGTGGACAGTCCCTTTTCGCGTAGGTTCGCCAGTTTTCTTCCCTCCGTTGAGAATTGGCAGTGATGTGGATTCTGAAGATGTGGATGATGCGTCAGAGTTTGAATTAGTCGAAGTTTTCCGAGAACTAGTAGCGAATCGTTTGAAGAACATATTAGCGAATTGTGTGTGCCCAGCTGTGCACAGGGGAGCGGCTCTCACTGATAATAGTGTCTGCCTGCTGGGAATTTTGGACCACACCCCCCTACGAGAAGGGCCAAACACATGCTTCAACAAAGATAAATCACCCTTTAAGATTGGAAGAATGGGGGTGTGATTTTCAAAAAAAAAACTAACAGCAGCAACATGTTGCTCCTGATTGACATTTGACACTTGAAAGATAATTCTCTGAGCAAAAGAACAAATGGTATTTAATATGTCTGATGCACTCTAACACATTTTTTTCAAAGAAGAAAAGAGAAAAAAAATCATCTATGATCGAATCAAATAAATAGCTTACTTCTTTATCAGTCATATGACAAAACTATCAGTTTTTTGTAATAGTGAAACCGACCGCGTGCCTTATTGAGAAAAAGAAAACAGAATAGAATATTAAAATTATGTCTCGTTTCGATTTCAAGAAAATTTGAGAAAACAGCCGAAAAAATCTTTAAAATGCATAAAACTTCTTTTTGTTGTCCACGAGGAGTACACAGAGCCTAAATAAGCAATTGCGCTCAATTGGCATGTGCGAGAGAGTGGAGACGACAGAGTTTCTTCCTTGTTACTAGAACAACATTTTTATTTCTCGTTGAGAATAATAAGTTATCAAGCGCTAAAATTTGAAACTGGCTTAATAGGGATGATGAGGCAAATGAGATATGGGGGAGAATAAAACAGCAAAAATGAGCCTTTGTCAGTTGTGGGATATGTCCGTATTGGAACGGAAGCGCAGAAAGATCTGGGAGCAGTGGAAAAGCAAAAAAAAAGCAAAAAGGAAACAAAAACAAGATAATGCACGTTGTGAAAAAACCAAAAACGAACAACGGGAAAGAGTCACAGGGTGGAGAGATATAAAAAACACAGATAATGAAATTTCAAGAAGAAGAAAGTTCAGGGACACAATAGAACAGTTTCTGTACGAAATGAGTGAAACCTATCCACACTGATTGTATGAATCCGGGCCGCCATTTGTTATAGACAAAGAGAGCATAGATAGGGATTCCGGATAGAACGAGGAATACTCCATAGACAAGTTCCCATGGATCACTGTGGAAGAATGGAAGAATCAACAAGAAAAGACACATCAAGAAGAATATGATGGGCCAGAAGAGGCTGATTTTGATGGGGCGGCTACGAAGAACGTCTTCTGGCATCGTGAATCTCAATTTCAAAAGTCCAGCAACTGAAGCAAACACAACAAGTGATTCGGCAAATGAGAGATAGTTGATCAGTTTAAAAACATTTCCAATGAAAAGCATGATAATTGAAGTTCCTCCAAGGAAAATTAGTGATGGAATTGGGGTTAATTGCTTGATCGAGATCATCGCGAACAGTTCGGGCAGCTGATTGTTTCGAGCACCAGAGAAAAACATTCGGGAACATGTGATTAGGATTCCATTGAGTGATCCCACGCAGGAAAACGAAACAAACAGTGGCATGAGGATTTTACTTCCAAAAGAGCCCATAATCTTGTCGGCAAATGTGATGGCAACTGCTTCAGAGTCGAGGATCTGAAATTCCATTTGAAGGGTTTTTATTTAAATTTTAATCAGGACACACCTCATCGACAGTGAGAACTGCAAAATAAGCAATGTTGACGAGCATATACACAATTGTGACGATTGGGATTGAAATGTAGATGGCTCGTGGCAAGTTTTTGAATGGATTTTTGAGTTCCTCAGTGACAAAGTTGAGATAGGAGAATCCGGAGAATGAGAAAACTCCAGAATAGAATGCCATGGCAATCGCCGCCACTTTTGTCTGGGTACCTTCAGTAACATCAGGCGTAGTAAGATTGTCGATTTGTCCCAAAGACAACCAGTAACCTCCAAGAACAACGATCATGGAAAGAGCCAACAGTTTTGTGATGGTGAAGAAATCATTGGTTCTCGTGGCCATTCGAACATCCCAGCAGTTAATGAAAGTGAGAACGGCGATGATGCATCCAGCGAAAAGATTGATAACCGTCTCAGGAACTGGGCAAGAGAAGAATGGTTGCAAAGCGTATGTTGCACAAGTGATAGCGATGATTGCGAGGGAAGTTGGATTAATGATAACCAGAGCGGCCCAGAGGAACATGAATGAAGGTAGTGGTCCAAAAGCCTGAAATAGTTTTAGGAATAAAAATTGCATTTGTTTTTTTACCTCATTTTACCATTTCATTTTTTTTTCATTTCATTTTATTTGTTTACCTCATAAATATAAGCATAATCTCCTCCAGACTTTGGGATTAACGTTCCAAGCTCCGAATAACAGATGGCTCCAACCATAGCGAAAGCTCCACTTAACAACCAGATAAGAAGCGACATTCCAGCACTTCCAGCCTCCAGAAGAACTCCTTTCGGGGAGACGAAGATTCCGGATCCGATGATGACACCGATGATGATTGTGCAGCCATTGAAAAGGGAGATACGGGGTTTCAGTTTGATCTGACTCAGAGACACTTTTTCTTCTTTTTCGTCCATTGTGACTGTCTGCAAAAAGGTGATGCGTGAATGAGAATGAATTTCGGAAAAAGGTCGAATAGGGGAGATGAGAGGTAATAAAAAAACCTTCATGGGATGGTTGAAAAGGGCATTGAGAACGGCGGCCACCCAAAGTGACGAAATATGAGCACTAGAGAGAAAAAGATGAGAGATATGACGAGACAAGACGCAAGAAAATCTTCATAACTTTCAAAAGTGCGAAAAGAAAGATGTGAGAATAAGAGGCAAGCGGAAGCAACTAAACGAACTGATACTACAAGATTGATGGAACGATGAGGGGCAAAAAGAAGATTTAGGAAGAGAAAACGGATGTTTTTGTGCTGTTTATCCGCGCATTTTGCCAAGCGGCTCGAATAAAAAATCCGACTATTTGACAGCTGATGAGATTGAATTGTTCAAAATCATCACGATTGAGAAGTTTAATTTGATACAAGGGCAATCGCGCGTACGGATAACCTTGGTATACTGATAAGTTGAGATTCCTCCGATTCCTTTTTGATAGTAATTTTGGTACCAGAGAACACATTGAACTTTCAAGGACGGTAGACGGAAGATTTATAGACCAGCTATTTTATAGACGGACTTCTAGGAGAAAAAAAGCTCAAATTTACAACTAAAAACGAAAAAATTAGCCGAATGAAAACCTAATTTTCAAGTAAAAAAACATCCAAAACAACCTATTATGATTTTAGAATTGATTTGAAACATAAAAAAGATGATATTTTTCCGAAAAAGCACAACAAAATCTCGAAATCAATAATTTATGGTACCGGTAACATTTCTTCAAAGGCGCAACGATTGAATTCTGATATTGTTACACAGCGAAGTTGCGATTCTAAGGTTGCCCCTTTAAGAAGTCTTACGGTATGGCTCGCTGAATTTTGTGTACGACGAAAAAAATCCGCACAAACCAAAACTACAAAACTTGGCAGAAACTTTACTGAAAATCACCAAATCAGAACTATTATTCTTGTACGACAGCGATAAAACTTGTGGCCAAAAATTCGTTTAGGGCGCATAGCCGGTCCTGAAGAAGAAACGGCTACGATTTTTACAAATAAATTCGTGCTCCTTTAATACAGTACTTTGGAACTGTTTTATTTTGACCCGTTTTAGGTAGTTTTTCTATTACTCTCGTCCGAAATCAATGCACGTTGCGGCCGAAAATTTACTCAAAATCGCATCGTCGGTCGCACAGCGAAAAAACAAATTGATGCATGCGCCTTTAAATACAGTACCTCGGACGTTTTTTATATTGGGCCCTATTTGGCTGTTTTTTTTCTATTTTATAAAAAAATAAATTGAAGATTTATAAGAATTACACAAAATTAGACAGAAACAAGCGAAAAAATGAGAGAAATTTAAGAAAATTCGATAAATGTTGAGGTACTGTATTAAAGGCGCGTGCAATAATTTGAAAAATACAATAAGGTTCTCTCTGTGGGAGCTAAGCTTCGCCCACCGTTGTTTTCTCGGCCGCAACGTACATTGATTTCGGACAAGAGTAATACTTTATAAGGAAATTAAGCTGATTATTCATGAGATTCTGAAGAATTTTGACGAAAACGAGCAAAAATATGAAGGAAATAGGCAAAAATAAACTAATTTCGAGATACGGTATCGTTCGAAAAACCGTAGTTGTTTTCGCTACCGGACCGACAATGCGCCTTCAAAAAAAATTTCGGCCGGACAAGAATAATATAACTCAGTTGTTCTACTTTTCAACGCTTGACAAGTACGGGACACTAAGCGCCAAGAAAAAAACAGACCACAAGCAAAAAAAAACAGAAAAAAGGGACGTCTGGGTAGGCGAAAAGCCGAAGAAAAAAGGTAGTTCTTTTTCATCATCTGCTCCTTCGTCTTCCTTCCTTCCTGCCTTCCTTCCAGCTGGTGGGGAGTCGATTCCGAGAAGTGTAATGGCTCTCTCTGGGTGCACACAGACCGATTCCTCTCCGCGAGACACGGGTAGTCATCAGAGAGATAGACGGGACCATTAGAAGCGCAGACACATAGAGTGACATAAGAGAGAAGGAATAAAACAGGGACATAAAGCGTGGTGTCTACCAAAAGTGTACTACCTCTGGACCGTCTCCCGCTGGCTGAATGCCAGAAAGACTGATCGTTGCAAAAAAGCGTTGGGTTAGAAAACAAACAAAGAACGTTTTTTCTTTGAAAGCGACGAGCAATCGAATCTTTTGTTTATTGAGAAAATTGCACTTTCATGAAAAAAATCGCAACATTTTTCTGTACGGCTTCCTCTTTTTTGTGGCTTAATGTTTGCAGAAAAAAGTAGAAACAGTTTATCGAAGTCTGGGAAATTCTGTGAAGTTTCGTTAAGGATAAAAAGTGCATCTGGCGTAGGTGGAAGTCGGGAGATCGGGTAATTTATCAGGGGCAATTAGGTCTCAAATAATGCCCGTATCGTGTTTTGTGATTGATGTGTTTCTGGTCGTTGTTGAGACACTTCTCGTCAAGTTGAGCTTTTCTGAACAGGCATCAAAAGTATAATGAACTTTAATTCGAAAACAACTCACTCATCAAATAGGTACGGTAGTCGCGGATAAAGTACATTACCACCAATGGATCTAAAGCGGGGTAGAGAGCCAAACAGATTGATGTCATGTTGGCGATCACACCCAATTCTACACCAATAATCGGGCAAATGAAGAGTACAGTAGTTGGAGAATACATGAAGATGATTGGGACTATTGTCTAAGTTCATTAGAGTTCAAAAAAACGTTTGAATTCTATTCTACCTGGAGTACGAGTGCATGGAACAGTTGTTTCTGAAGAGCTCGAGTCTTCTCCGCCACCAGGTCGTTAACTGATTGCATCTTTTTATAAACCGAGTAGCCCAAACACATTATTGTGACAAGAGTTGTTATCTGGAGAAGATTCATTTCTTGAAAAGTCACATTTTGGAACTCATCGCAATACAGTAGACGTTGATCATTCCGAGACAACTTTTCCATTGAATTTGAATATCTCCTTGCTCTCCAACAATCTGAATTTTCAGCAATCTTCGTATATCAGATCATGAAAATTCTTACAAAATACAAAGGTCCAATATAGGAGAGTCGTTCAATCCGTTCTTCATAGTTTTCATAGATGGTTTCATTCAAATATGCGTCAAATGTTGGATTACTACTCAACAAGAAATAGACATTACACCACCAGAATACAGCAACCACTGAAAAAATGATTGGCCAGATGAGAGCATGTGGATACTTGAACCAGTGGATCTGATTCGGACGGATCATTGCGATGTACCGGTAGATGAAATGAATAGCAAGGAGGACAAGGGTTAAGCCATAGGAGGTGCAGTAGCTGGCTGATTATTTTTTCTTGTATACACCGTGAAACATGTAATAGAAGGGCCCCTTAACTATTAACTTTGAGTCAATTTATCCCGGGTCCTGTTATAGATTCTGAAAAACTTGTCAACTGATGAACAGTTTATCATAATATCACAAAATTTAGTTTGTTGACATATTTTTGATATCTATCATAGAAACCAAGATTGAGTGTAGAAAGTGGGGGGGGGGGGGTTATTTTTACAGGTTTCACAGTATTCGATGAGATCCTTACTGATAATGATTGGGGCCAAGACAGGATCATATTTGAACCAGCTGGCACAAAATACAATGTAGCTGTTGAGATATGAGTGCATTGCTGGTTGAGTTAGAATATCAATTATAGAATACCAAAGCGAGAAACATGCAAACCAAAGCATCAGATATTTGTATGAGCCAAAGTTGTTTTTGGTCCTTGTCAGAATGAGGTGGATAAGAGTGAGATTCGCGAAGAACGCAATGAAGAATCCGAGGTATTCGGCAAAGTAGGTTACAAATGGGATTTGCATCTGAAATGTTTTTTTAAAGGTGGGGGGACAGGAGATTTTACGGGGGATTTTCGGGGCCAGAGTATGTATTCTACCGAGACAGTGTACAACGCTTAATGTCACTCTGCGTACAGCTGTCTTCCGCGCCTTTATGTATGCAATCTGGATGCCGCTTTTTCTTTTCCCGCGTAGCTCAGTCGGTAGCGGCACCGCACCCTCAATCCTCGCCCCCACAAGTTCAACTCCACGAGGGCCGTATAAAAACGGAATTTCGAGAAATTTATTTTTTTATTTCCCCCCACCTTTAAAAAATAAATCAAATTCAAGTTACCGTCCGTAAACACTCTAACAGAACGCCACCTTAATTATCTTGGTACCTGTGAAAAACATCAAAAATCTGTCAACTGATTCATTTGTTTCCATAACATTACCTGTATTTTATCAGTTGACAAATTTTCGATATATTTTACAGGAATCGAGATAATTGGGCTCAAAGTTGACGGTTTGGAGAGGGGCGTTCTATCAGAGTGTTTACGGAATTCCAAAAAAAAACGAGAAAATTGCAAATATGTAGATACTCAGAAATTGAGATGAATGGAGTCGACTATAAATCGGTTTTATATTCCGAAATCTATGAAAATAATTCTGAGAAAAAACAATTCTAGTCTATAGTCTACAAGTCGAACAATTTTGCTTTTATAGGAAAATGGGCGGAGTCAAGAAAGATATCTACCGTAGACTGGAATGACGTGGATGTGACTGCAACCTAATCTTTTGGTGGATGAGTTCCTTACTTGTTAGAATTTGACAAAGGGCGCGAAAGAAGATAAAGGACGCAAGACACTAATACTTTCTTAGAAATGTTAAGAATCAGATTTTTGTGTTTTACTTCAACAGTTCTGAAGATCAGACATTTTTTTCTTGGAATGGAAGTCGGAAGTCGGAAATTTTCTAACTCGGATGTCGAAGTTCCGGCAAAAAATAAAAATAAAAAGGCATAAAAAATTCAAAGCCAAAGTGTCACAAATCCATCTCAAAATCGCTCACTTCCATCTTTTTGTTCCCGTTTTTCTTCCCCTGACTTCTGCATAATATTGGTTGAGTCATCCGAAATGACAACTTCTAGAAAGATAGAAGAAATGGTTCGTAGTAGAGAAAAACAAATAGTTGTTTCGTTGTAAATGTGCATGTACATTTTGTATTTCTTCTTCTTCTCAAATCGTTCGAGAAACAGACCAAAAAGAAGTATTGTTGGAAGCGCAAACATTCCCCGAATCATCGTCCCCGCCACACTATCAATTCGTTCTCTTTTTTTTCTATTAGAACAACCGGAGAATGACTACTACAGTTTCAAAGCTCGTTGAGCGCATTTTCATGAAGTCAGTTTGATTTTCAAATGAATTAAAACGTTGAAAACAATTATTCAGATATGCTCATGTGGTCATTGATCACCCGATTATAGTTATTGTTTTGACGGGATCTGTCTCTGTTTTTCTCACTTGTTGGTCGCTTTACTTCAATTTTGGAGTCATAGATTTGGACCCAACTAAGGTAGGGTAGGAGGTTCTTTTGAGGATCTTAGATTCATGATGTAGGGTTTTGAAACAAGAGGAACTCCGTTATCGTCCGCCAGGCTGACCCTGGAAGCTATGAAACCACATCAAACTTCTAATGAAAACATATTACGATGGTATTTTGAGTGAGCTCACTATTTGAAACCGTACCCTAGGCTAGACAATATTTCAGACAAGATCTGACGCGCCGAAGAAGGGAAATTTCCAACACGACAACTTTGGAACCTATAACTGTCAACTATGATGATTATGGAGTTGATTCTGAACCAAATGTCTCAGATTTAGAGGATCCATGTGAAATGTATGCATCCATTGGAAAAGGCCTACCGTATGATATGATTGAATATTTAGGGAAAGTTATGATACGGGTTTCAAGTTATGATGATGTGAGTCAGAATCGGCAAAAGTTTTTTGTAGATTTCCCATTTTCAGTTATTCACAGTAGATGTTATGAGGCATCTGTGCAAAGTTGATGATGTTGTTGATACATTGATTGCGGAATTCAATTTTACAAATCCTGCAAAATCTTTAAAACACTCTCTGAACATTCCATTGTACACCACTTGTCCAAATATGACAACTAAAAACTCTTGTGATGGCTTGAATCAAGAAGAGTTAGTTATTGGACTTTTTCACATACATAAAATACACAGAATTTCAGCATTTCAAATTTTCGAGACCTTCTGAAAAAGTGCAATCTAGACCCGAAGCTAGACTTGTGCTCAGCTTTCTCTATCAACCATGTCAATCATTGGCTCCTGCCAAGTAACAATAATTCGGAGCTGATAGTTACGGTAGTCTTAAAGGTGAGTTTCTCCACTGCCTAGCAACTTCTGGTTGGAAACTGGTTATATTTCGGGTAAGATCGCTACTAAAGCTGTCCACTTTAACTTCCGACCAAAATTTGACCATGGCCCGCTATACAGCCGTTTTTGGGCAAGTGCCATTATCTGTCCTTTCATTCCGGACCGGAAACGGCCGACATTCAAGCAAATCAGACCATTTCATCCAAGTTTCAGATGGCTATGTGGAATGGTGTAGATGATCGAGAAGTCTATGATAGTCTCATTGAGAGACTGGAACTTCATCTAGAGAAGAATCCCTATACTCGGATGGCTGGTGTTGCAATGAATATGAAGAATCGGGTGTTTCAAGAAACAATTAGAGTGGATAGTGTGATTGCCGGACTTTCAGCATTTCTAGTTTTTCTATGCTTCCTAGTTTATTCAAGAAGTTTAATCTTCACCAGTATCATTCTTATGGTTGTTTCTTTGTCAGCTGGAGTTGCATTCTTTGTTTATACGGTAAGATAGAGACAAGTGGCGTTTCTAGAAGTATTTCACTTTTTAGGTGATTCTAGGAATCGATTTCTTCCCATTTATTAATCTCCTTGTAGTTGTGATTCTTATTTCAATTGGAGCAGATGATGCCTTTCTATTACTCGTCTATTACAGAAGAGAAGTAAAGGTGGGTCACAATTCTTTATGGTTTCATCAAATTTTGTTTTCCAGAAAATGTCCAATTTGGAATATAAAATAGGATCAATCTATATTCCACTATATCGAGAATCAGATCTCCTATCTCGAAGTCTGCGTCTCTCACTACATCACTCTCTCGTCTCCATGTTTGTCACATCTCTCACAACTGCTACAACTTTTCTAACCAATCTTTTTAGTCCTGTAATAGTTTTAAGGTAAGCGTTCCAGATAATTCATTTTCAAAAGACCCTGTTATTCCAGATGCTTCGGAATATATGCTGCAATTACAGTTTTAATCAACTACATTCTCGTGATTCTGATTCTTCCAGGAGCTATTATCTTGACACGTCCTGTTAGAAAACAAAAACCATCCCCTGAAGTTGTAGATACAGTTGAACCAGTTGAACTTGAAAAACCAAAACTGGAAAATTTTAACTCCAAGATCACTGAGTTCACATACTACTTCCGCTTTGGAGTAGTTATTCTGAGCTTTATTCTAACTGGTTTGTCAGCTTTCATCATTTTTCAAAATCCCGGATTGACGATTCCACAAAATAATCCGACTAAAGTAAGCAAGAAAGGCAATAACAAGCATTGTTTTTTGAATGATTTCAGTTACTCATTGATTCAAATATTCACGAATTCTTTGACAATCATATGCATCGTTTCAATTTTCAATGGCAAAGATCTGCAAAATTAGTCAAGAATTTCGTATTTGGAGTGGAGGCTATAAAGTTAGAAAAAGAAAGAAAGTCGGGAAAAAAGAGTTTATATCATTTCAGGGAATCATCGACGTTGAGTCCATACCACAAACCAGGAAAAAACTTTTCCGACGCCAACTTTCAACTTGACGTTGATAAACTTGATTTCTATCGCCGACTCGTTGATTCAGAAGCTGAAAAGTACCGACTGGAAAATTATACTCATTTCTCGTGGGCTGACAAAACACTTCGATTGAATGAGTCGTGTCTTTCTGAAAATAAGGTATATTTTGTTCTGATCCGAAAACGATAAAATTCTATTCCAGACGATTCCAAACAATTGCATTCTTGCTTCTTCCGTACGATTCAAAAATCTTATCCATCAGTTTCCTGACGATTTTGCGGTTATTCCAGGAGATGGACCTTTTATTGACCATGATTTGAATGTTGTTGGGTATCGCTTCCCGAAACTTCAGAATGTTTAATAATAACGATTTTCAGATATTTCATATCCATCCCATCTAATCAAAAGCTTCGAGTTGATACTGAAGTCATTGGCGAATTCTTCAAAGAAATTGAACAATCATGTAAAATCATAAAGAATACAACAAGTGACCCAGTGTTGTGTCTCTCATCTACAGAGATATCCAGGTTCTACGACATCGTATCTCAATTAAGGTTAGTTAGAAGTCACCGCACTGTCAAGTTTGAGCTTAATTATCTCAATTCCCATGCAAGATATGAAAAATGTGTCAACGGACAAAATACTCTTGATGTGATGATAAACAGTTGACCAGTTGACAACTTTTCTCTATCTTTGACTGAAATCGAGATAAACTGGCTCATATTTAACAGTTAGGATACCTTTCTACTGCATGATTCACTGTGTTTTCAGATCATCGAGTTTTGTCTCTGTGACCATTTCTCTCGGAATTTGTCTAATTGTGATTGTGGTTTGTACTCGTGTTATAAACCTCTCGATACTCTCCTCCATGGTCATTTTCTTTGTGATTCTTTGGACTGTAGCCAGTCTTATTATGCTAGGTATGTGTTTCTTTGTGACTTGAACACAATATTCAATTCAGGATGGAAGCTATCTGTTGTGGAATCCACAATTCTCATAATCACAATCGGTCTCAGCTTTGATTACACTCTACATTACGTAGTAGCTATAAGAGACGCTAAATTCGTTTCTGCATCTGAAAAAGTGTCATCTGCTCATTCAACAGCTGGTGTTGCCTGTGCATTCGGATCCCTAACCTTATTTCTTGCCGGCCTTCCTCTACTTTTCACACAAACTGCGTCCTTTTATCAGGTTTGCGTTGTCCATTATTTCAAAAACCGTGCTTTATGCTGCCGAATTCAGATAGGCACAATGCTCGTTATCCTCGGAATAACATCACTTTTCGGCGCCTCAATCGTCTTGCCCGCTTTCTTAATGGCTTTTTCGTGTGATGGTGGTCGACAGTCAACAAAGTTGTGAATAAACTGTATTTATTGCACTGTTATAAAAAAAAATGAAAAAAGAATGAACATCACATGCTCTCGGTTTCTATGTACAAATAAATGTATTCAGTGTTACTGGTTCTTCTAAGCTTGAGTTCGTTTCAGATGATCCATGAAGACGGGAATTGCGAAACTGTAAAGTTTATAATTTCTTATCAGGAAACTAAAATTCAACTGATCAAACAATCAGCAACACATCATAGCTGATTAGAAAGAGTAGTGCATTCTATACTCACATAAGGATTCCGAAGAATAGAGTCACAAAAGAGATGATGGTAGGAACATGTTCGTACTTCTTGATGAGACGATCAGCATTACGGCCAATGATTTCAGAAGTGTGAAGGGGCATGATCTGAAAATTGCTAATTTTATAGTACGAAAAAATAATCAAAAAAAGAACGGGAAGCTACAAGTTAAACATCGAAAACACCTTAATAGAAAACCACCCAGACCGTTAAATTTGAACCAATATATCTCGGTTCCCTGTGAAAGATATCAAAAAGTGGTCAACTGACAAAATATTTTTGATATTATAATAAACATAGTTTGTTGACGACTTTTCTATATCTTTTACAAAAATCGAAATATATGGGATCACAGTATACGGAGAGGGCAGCCTTAGAAGGGTAGGGTGGCCTTTAGAGTGTTTATGGTAGTTCTTTTGAAAATTGAGAATCTTTTAGAAAGACTAGTGAAGGGTTTCGTAATGAAAAAATTACAAATTCAAACGCCAGAAAAGCCCAGAAACTTGTCTCGTCGTCTCTTTTTATAAATCTACTCCGTGACGACAACGAACACAACGAATGGAAGTCTCGAGGAGACGTCTCTTCTCTTTTTTCCGAAATACTAAACGAAAGAAACTTCTCGGCCTTTTTTTCTTTGGAAACATCTGATTGGGGTGCCAAAAACGAAGAAAACTGAACAACAAGGGAAGGCGAGAGAATAGAGTAACAGAGAAACGAGAACCGTATTGTGTGGATAGAGAAAGAGCAAACGAAATTGCTCTTCGTACACAGAGTGTGTGTTTGGTGAATAAATACTGTGTTATACACTTTTACTTTCAGTACAGCAGTTCATATCAATGAATTGAGACACGTAAAAAATGGGTGAGCAACAAATGGAAATTATTGATAAAGTATGCATAACTAGACTACGCTTTTGCTCCGAAGTTCGACTTTCGACACTCGCCAAATGTTGTTTGCATCTTTGAGACCAAGGAGTTTTCGAACTGAAATAAAAACAAGAGTTTTCAAAGAAAAGATTTCAGGCAAAATACCACGGTTGAACACATAATTGACGCTTTTCTTCGTCACTGAATGTGTCGAAATGAAGACCAGGGTTGAAGCAGTTCCTTGTTGAGCTTCGACAAAAAAGAAAACGAGACCGCCATCTGGAAATCAAAAGTTCTGGAAAAAACCTTGAATAAAAGAATAAACAAAGTTTCTGCCAAGGAAAAAGTTTGCAAAGTATTGAGTTTCGTTCAGATTTTTTTGTAATTCGGAGGGTGCAACGATTCTGAGGGTACAAGGAGTTACAAAATAATTTAGGAGTACAAAAGCAACAATTCGCGGGTTAAAAATATTTTTTTCAGGTGTTTTGTACCCCCGAATTGAGGATTTTGTAGATTATACTACTGTGGACCAATTAGCATTTTTGTACCCTACGAATTATTTGCCTTTTTTTATTCGAAAATAGTTAGGAAATTTCAAAATTTCATGAAAATATGAAAAACCCGGGCCTAACCGGCCGGCCTGGGATGACGCGGTCCGGACCCTGATTTTTCAAGTATGGTTTTTTTTCGAACATCAGGACAACAAATCAATTTTTGAGTGTTCTTCGAATTGGTTTTTGTGTGGTGATTCAATTACCACTAAAGGGATTACGTAAGAAAAAAGAAACCACTATTATAATATAGCTATTCTCTCTTTTTTCTATAAATTCTGATCTTGAACTCTCACCATTTATGAAAATATCAAAGTAGACAGAAGCCACAATTGTTATGATGGGCCCCAAAATGAAAACTACATGAACAGCTGCCTGAAAACGTGATTTTTTGCCTCTCTTGACCGAAATTTTCCCATTTTCACCTGTACAATCAACACCGTAGTAAACTTCTTCTGAACTTTCAACGTATGCTGAGATAAATCTTTTCGCGAAGCTAACAAGATTACCAGAGTAAACGCTCCGCATAATAGAACGACGGAGCCAACAAAAATGATGAAAACTAATGTGGTGCAGATGGCAAGAATAATCGGCCAAGAGTACGGATCAGAGACTAGAAATTTAGGACACCAGACTTCGGCCATGTGGTATTTCTGGAATAGATGTGTTGCGGGTCTGAGAGCTTGTCATATTTGAAACCTCAAAAATCATTGGCTTGATTGTCGGCTGCGAGCTTTGAACCGTTAGGAGACCCAAATAAGAAATTGCAGTTAAGACCAGAATGACATAGGTCAAGTAGACCAATATTTGGAGAAATCTTCGAATTTTTAGGTTTCGAGGATTAGTGTTCATAGAGGAGATAGCTTTTAGACGATAATGGAAAAGATCCATTATTGAAAGTACAACACCTGAAAGCAAGTAAATTATGATAACTAAATTCTTTGAAGCATTTTAACCTAAAAGACAATAAACAGTAAGAATAGCAGGGAAAGCTAAATTCAGTGGGATAAAACGAATTATACCATTTGATTGATATCCTATCATGGGTAGATAGAAAATAGGACACAGTACTATTGATATTGCAAACATGCATAATACATTTCTGAAAATGGAACTACCGTGCTTTCCCTAATAGAAGTCCACCCAAACAGTCACTTTGAGGTCAATTAGCTCGATTCCTCTGATAGATACCAAAAGCTTATCAATTGATAAAGTACTTATCATAATATCACCAATGTTTTATCAGTTAACAAACTTTTGATATCTTTCACAGGAAATGAGATAATTGAGAGATTTAAAGTTGACGGTTTGGATAGGCTTCTAGTAGAAGAAACACGGTATTTAAAAAAAGAAAAAATTTCAAACTCGAGTCATACAGTGTTAAATTTCGAAGATAAATAACTCTGATTCTTTTTGCATGTATTCCAGAATGATATACCAATAGATACACAGCAACTGCATATATAGGAGTGGCAACAAATGGAGACAATTTGAATATAAGAAATCCGAAAAGCAAATTTTGAGGCACCGAACATTCGTAGTTGGAGACATTTGGAAATATGAATAACTTTTTTGATAGATCTCCAGATTTCAGCTATTTTTCTGACCGTTAATCTAAAAATTAGGTTTAAAGTAGCGTGGTTTTGAGGTCTACAAGAAAGAGGGCGCCGCTGGAAAAAAAAAATCAGCAACAGAATCTGGAAAATTATTCAATTGAGAGTGTAATATGATGGAATTTTCGGAAAAAAAAGAAATGATGTTTTATTCCTAGAGATTTTGAGAGCAGGCGACTTTTCACCTGTAAAGCTTTTCATATTGGTTTCGTAAGTCGAGATCATGAACTTCTTGCAATTTACGAAATACAACATTTTTTGAAAATTCTAAAACTCTAGGATTTATTTTTTAAAATCTGAAAATCCAGAAACTGAAAAAAAATTCAGAAGCTCCGAAACTTCAAAAAAAAAATCTGACATTTCGATTTTCAAAACTCCGAAAATTGAAACTTTTGATTTTTCAGATTTTCAGAAAGATTTTCATTATTTTGAAAATTCTAGAATTCAATTTTGAATATCTGGAGTTGCCGGGATTTTCAAAAAATCTGAGAATCCAAAAATCCAGAAAATTTCGAAGTTGTAAAATTTTCAGCAAAATCTGAAAACCCATGAATTTAAATTTTGAGATATTCAAAGTAACACCATTTTAAGATAAATTATTTTTTAAAAACCTAAAACTTCAACGAAACCTACAACACATTTCACAGAACGTATTCTTTTCATGGTTTGATTGGTTAAAACCATTCTAGCTGAAAGAAGTCAAAGATGACGGCTCGTGTATGTTTTTAGTTTCTGAGTTTTTTTTATAAAAATGAAAAAACTAGACAAAATATTCATTGAAAATCAAGATCAAATGTACAAATATATAGATAACAGATGATAAAATGAGAGGGTATCAAAGATACGTATAAGAAGGCAAAACACTGTAGCTGATGGGAATAATGTAGGTCGCTATTCAAAAGTTTAGAATTTCACGCTGCAACGTTTTTCGATCCTGTGTATATCTTTGAGGTGTAGCAATGTCCAAAAGAAGCATGAAATCACGAAAATCCCGTTGATAATGTTCCAGAACATCGACCATATTGAGAATACTGTAGTATCTACCCGGTCCTGCATTCGAACCATGTCTACTTAAACAATATAACAAAAGAGCCCCAGTGAGATTGTACCGTTCTCTAGCCAGTATTTCTTGAGCACTCTTGGACAAATCGGTGACGGCTAAAATGCAATTTTGGTTTTTTTAGATAAGAGTTCTCTTACCATCATTGCACAAAATAATAGCTTTTAATAGAACGTATTCAGTTTTGTCGAAGACGTTTCGGATAAGAGGGGCCATGATCCGAAGGCTGAGACGCCGTTCAAAGGAGCGAACTTCACGTTCACATCTAAAAAAGAATGTTCTAGAGGGATAACTGAAAAGTGGTGGGGAACACAAACTAAAACAAAACCATTCTCAAAATAGAGAACTTATCAACTTAAGACAACACAAAAAGAGAAGATCCATACTGTCCTGCTGGTCCGGATATGCAAATCCCATCTGGCATTTGAAGAACCGCCATTTTCGAGAGAAATGAAGAGTAGGAAGATGTGAGGGCAAGATTCATGAATGTTGTTGCCTTGGTTAGCAAAATCTGAAAGTTTGTTATTAAGCTCATTTCCAGTGTTACTTCTCTCCTTGCCTTATCATTTGATGGTAGTTGTTGAAAGAACGGAAACGTCTTCGCGTACTCTATGGCAGTAAGCATATCAAAGCTGAGCCACTCTTTCCTGGAATCAAATATGAACTTTCATTCCCTATACCAGTGACTCACGTATTTATGCCAAAATTAGATGTCGATGGTGGAAATGCAACCGGTAAAGACAACAAATTATTAGTAATTGGATTTTCGTTCTTGATTTGATTTATTAACACTTGCTGCTCAATAAAGTTCTCTTGAGTAATCGGCCAACCAGTCATCGCCTGAAAAGAACCACCGAATCAAAGATCTGTAACACAAACTGGGTACATACCCCGTATTTGTCGGCTAAATCTAGTTTTCCAGTAGATGATAAAATTCCTTCGAGACTCGGCATAAAGAGAGGATTGTAAGCTGATTTTCGAAATTTGTCAGTTTGAATATCCAGGTTGTGAAGCTTATCGATAATCCCTGACACATAGTTCTCTCGTGTTGGTAGCGGAGAAGTGATGACTGGTGAAGCAATGTTAGGTGAAGCAGCCGGCTATATAATTAAAAGAATTGAGAAAGAGAGTGCAAAATGTAAAACAAACCAAGTCTGGAAGTTCTCCATCTGAACTTGTAGGACTATCGTGTTTTCGGTGAAGAGCCACCATGGCTACCATTCCAACTTTGTAACATTTCTGAAGACGACAATGACGACATTTACGGGGGCGGACAGTATGAGATGCTATTGAAAAGCACTGTTTGTCGTATTTACACTCTGGATAGATAGTTTTATGAAGGATCGCTCGTCGGAAGAACGATTTGCAGCCATGACAAGCGGGAACCTGAAAAGGATTTTTTCGGAAAGCTCATCTTAAATTTTTGAGCAATAATTTGGAGGGTACAAAATTTGGGAGCGCAGATAATTTTCAAATATTTTGTATCCCCGAATTGAGGATTTTGTAGTCACAAATCGGTTTGCACCCAAAAGACGCCCGAAATTCTTGTATTCTCCGGATTATTTTCAGAGATTTTGTTATCCATTTTTCTGAGAATCAGTGTTGGTATAAATAAATACAGTAAAAAAGGAAAATTCGAGAATTTTTTTGGAAATGCCGATATCTGATCTTGTTTTTTAGTTTTTGTTGATGTCAGAAAAACAAACTGAAATTCAAAATTTTGTCTGTAGTTGACAAAAACGAAGTATCAAAAGTTTAGTATCTTACATGCTTGGAAGTTTTCTATGAATGATTTCTATGAAAGATTAAAAGATTAAATAAATGCGCCTATACTGTCAATTTTGAGCCCAATTATATTGGTCCGTATATCAAAAATGTATCAATTAATAAAATGTTTTTGGGATTATGATGAACAATTAATCAGTTGGAAATTTGTTCATATCTTTCACAGAGTCCGAGATAATTAAGCTCATAATTGGCGGTTTACATGGGCTTCTGTTAGAGAATATACTGTAAATAGTTCTAAAAATTAACTTCTAGAGTCTGACAAGGTGTTTATTAGTTTGAAGCTTTCAAAAATGAGAAGTTCAAAAGTTTGCAAAAAGTGTGAATTATAATATTTTGATTTCTTGAGTTTCTAATCTAATCTTTCTACTACAACGTGCAAAACTGGAGTTCTAAATACCATAGAGCAATAAACCAGATGAAATCCGATAAAAATGACTTATAGACTTCACAGAATGACTTAAGGATTACTGTGAATAGACTCCAACTAACCGAATAATGTTTTCCAGCAGCCGGCTTCCCACAAACTCGACACATTTCAACAGGAACATCAGCTCTTCCGGCAAAGGTATTTCCGATGAGCGACATCTGAGAAAATGAAAATAACCATGAGAGGAGGTCTAACTTTAAACGGGTTTTGATTGTGTGGACAACAATAATCAGACAATGAGTAATCCCATAGGTAACTTACGTCATACATGCTGGAACAAGGATCGTCTTCTCCCTCAGAGATGCTCATTGTTCCGATTGAAGTGGAGCTAAACATGACGATAGAGTTATATTCGTGAGAGATGTATGTTCTGAGATCTGACTGCGGAAAAGAGGTGGAGAGATTAGATGAATACGAGCCCGATTAAGAATGGGGGCCAGACATATCCACCTGGAAGAGAGGAGAGCACAAAACAGAAAACCTGTCTGTATTTTGAATTGATGACGGAGTAGTAGAGATAATGAATTGTTTTTGAAGCAGTGCTATGGGAATAGACGATGGAATTAGGATACAGTCCTTGAAAATGTCATAGACAGAAATTCGAAGTTGATTTTCATGAAAACAATAATAAGGATTAGAGCAAAACACAAAGATTTCAGATTGTATTTAACATAGAACATGTGCGGGTTTAGAACAAAAAAATAGATTTTTTTTGTTGGGAAAACTGTGATATCATTTTGAGTGGGTCGATTTTTATGAAAACAAGAACCAAGACTTATTTTTCCAGACTTATTTTTCCAGAGTTTTCTTAACCTATGAAATTCGTTAAAGATGGTCTGTGCTGAATTTAATGAATTCCTTCATTTTGTACAGAAAAATATACCGATTCACATAAAAATAGTGAAAAAATTCAAAAAAAATCCTAAAATGAGAAACAGCATCGAGAAAGCGAAGTGGTATTCGGTGTCTATGTCTTTTGATTTCGAACTGGTTTTTTTTTGAGAAATTTTAACTTTTTGTCATTTATGCAAAAATTATTTTTTTGGGGAAAATAATGATCCGTAAGAAAACGATTGGAAATTGAAAAAAATACCCTGAACAATTCCCATTTTTCGGCTATTTTGAGAGCAAAAAAGCACATGTTACAGATCGAACATTTTTGATCACATTTTTGTGGAAAACTAAATTTTTAGTATTCTAAATCCGGTCGACATATCCTTCTTTATCTCTACATAATTCCTACTTGGCATATGAGGAAGTGCAGAGAAAATAGTGGTGAGAAATTCCGAAAAAAGTAGATAAGATAAGAGCAAGATTAGGAAACTCAAGACAACGAGAAGAAAGCGGAGAGAAAAAAATTCATGTGTCGAGCTCGCGGGCAGACACTATGAACTCTGGAGAGAGAGATCAGAAGTCGTTGAGGGAAAATGAAGACCCGACCCGGTGAGCAATGAAACGAGAAGGATTGCTTATCAGTTTTTGACTAAAGTGATTCTGATGGATCAGTCCGATCACTCTTTGTAGGCAGGATTGGACTCTCGTTCCTGATGTTTAAAATAAATTATTTTTAGTTCGGTCAAGTAGAGAAAATTAGAGATTGAATATTTTGAAATTAACTTTTTGGACCAGGAACTAGGAAGTATTTTTGTGATAAATTTTTTCAAAGGAAGGACACGAATAATCTTTGAACTACTTTTGGTTTTGTAATTGGAAGCTTTGAATAAAAATAAAAACTAGACATGATTAAATCATAAGCATATCAGTAAATCATCTAGATGTGCGCTTTTCACACGATTTTTAGACGTGAGAAAAAAGCGCAGAGGCTGGAAAATATGCTTCCTTATAAGTTCCTCATTGGGTTGAAAAAACAAGAAGAAATTAGTTTTACACCTGATAGTGAGAATACGTTGACCTGAATTAACAGAAATAGAAAGAGATCAATGAACATTTTAAATAATTTTTTGACGAAATAATTCAGAAACTCAATTATTATAGTTCTCAACTGTTCAGAAAAAATAAGAAAATAGTGTCTGGTCATCGTCCCGGGAATCGAGAAACTTGCCATTTTTGTCTCGCAATCAGAAAATCAATACAAATTTCATAAAAGAAGAAGAAAACACATGGCGTAGAATTGATAAGACAATTTATTTGGCTACACAGGCTAGACCTAAATTTTCCTAAATGAATAACTAATAACTCGAAACTAAAAATCTTAAGCTAGGCACTGCTCAGTATTATCAGAGAAGATTAATCTATCCGCCTTCTTTGATATCATCATGGATCAGGGCTCGACACATCTGTAAAAAATCTCTAAAATAGAAATAAAAGAAGATTTCGAAAGGGATCTCTTGAGACGAAAATATGCAATTTTGGATGCTAAGTGTTTCTTGATTTATATTGTATAGTTGGTTATTAATGATCTGAAGGTCTGAAGTGGCGAATTTCAATACACCTCATCAATCAGAGAAGTATTCTAAAAGAAAATCTTGAAAATATACAGCCATATTTTAAGTCTAGACTTTTGTTTTCCAAACAAAAATACGAGTTTGGAGATGAGGAACGAAGTCTAGCATAATCACAATTTCTTATCAGAATCTTCATTTTTCGAATCAAGCATAACGATTTTCGGGATTTTCTGGAATAAGTCTAGATTTAGACAAATGAAAAATTCAACGAAAACTTCATACCGTCCTGCCTATTGAAGGATCCCTTAACTTGTAACTTTGAGTCGATTTTTCTCGTTTCCTGTGAAAGGTATAAAAGTGGTAAACTGATAAATTGTTTATCATAATATCAAAAATGTTTTGTCAGTTGACCCATTTTTGATATCTTGCATAGAAAACAAGAAAAATCAGTCCAAACTTGACAATGTGGGGGGTCCTCCTGGTTTTTCTCGATTCTAAACTTTTCGAAATTCTATAAATTTTGCGAACAGGGCCGTTTCAGGCCAGCCCGGCATTTAGTAAGTATGCAAAAATCTGAATTTTCCGATTCCTTAAAATTTGATATACCAAAATTTGGGTATTTGACACATACAGATTGAAAAACTTTTCTGGATTTCAAAATTAATATTTTCCTACATCTGATTTTTTAAAATTTACTAATTTCTGAACTTGCGAGTGTCTTACTTTTTCAATTTCCGGATTCTCTTACTTCCGACTTTCCGAATTCTAGGAATTCTAAATAACCAAAACATCGAATTTCGAAATTTCCTAACAGACCATGAAAAAATAATCCCTGGAAAAATGACAAAACCTGTCTATAAGACAACGGGTACTGTAAGCGGGAGCTAGGTGGCTCAGCCCGGTGAGGGCACAAACCAACTGTTTTTCAAAATTCGAAAATTTCGAAATTCAGAATTTTCGGAGAACAGAAAGTTTAGTAAACCTGACATTTAGTTATCCAAAATTTGAAACTTCAGGAAACCGGGAGTTCACATACTCCGGATTTCAGAACATAAAAAAAATATTTTTTCAATAGTTTGGAAATTTTGAAAATTTGGGAAATCAAATATTCCTAGAAGAAAATTGATAGTATGCAAAACTTTCACAAATTTTGGTGAACTCGGAAACTCGAAAATTTTTTAATTAGAAATTAAATTGTAAGATACAGAAAGCGGAAGCCAGGAGGTTGAAGCCCCCGACAGGGGGCGTAAACCGACTGGTTCATGATAATAATATGTTTTATAATACCCACTATGCACAAGTTAAAAAAACGTTTTGATTTTTCCCGTTGATCTTTCGAATAAAGGCACATTCACAAAATTATTTGTCCAAAAATTACGTTTTTGTAGTTCATTCATACAGATTAAAATAACACATTCCATTATCAAGAATCATTAGGCTTGATAGAAGTTTACGCTGAAATTCTAACATCAAAAGTTCAAAACTTTTCGGACGTCATAGAATTTGTAACTCCCATGACTTTTGCATTGTTTTCTATGAATTATGTATCTGAAAAACACAAAATCCAGACTAGGCAGCTGGAATCACATTGTCTGGAACTTATGATCTGGACGTTAAATACGTTGAATGTTTGGTTTTTAATGTTGTTTAAAGCTCCATAAAATAAAAATATTCATTGAAAATTGTGTGATGACAGATAAAGAAAAATGATTTTTCTCATCTGTCAATTACTGTTTTAAAGGAATGTTTTGAGGGACCCGTAAACGAGGTATTACTACAATCTGAGTCCAAAAAATGGATCATGAATGTTCCATTTTTCTGACCACAAATAAAAAAATATAAAAGAAAAAAACGGTATCACAGAATGAGCAAACAAGAAAAATTGGTGACAGATCGATAAATCAAGATTAGAACCAGTATGAGATGATTAATTCTTTTGGGCGAGTGTGTGATATGTGCAGATACAACACGTAGTTTTTTTGTTTGGGATCCTTAGTCTACTGTGGTAATTCGGAGAGAATCGTCAAGCTTTGAACTATCAATTAACTCTTCACGAGCGATCTCGATTGGAGCTTTTGAATGATCGGAATCCCAATGTTGTAGACTCACTGAAATAGGAAATTTGATAATGATTTTCCCCAAGATTATTTACCTGTTCCACAACAATGGAAGAACACTCCGGTAGCGATGCAAATCGCACCCATCGTACTGAATACAGACATCCATTCCGCAGGTGTTCCTTGTTTTGTGAATGCTCCGATATGGTATGGAGCCACCGATGAAGCAATCTGTCCCCAAAATCTCGAGAAAGCAGCGATTCCGGCAGTCTGAGCGGGAGCGATTGTGACGACACTGGTGGAGTATCCAGGAATGTATCCAGAGACGAATGACATTGCCATACAGACTAGGAAAATGGCTGTTCCTCTTTGAGTGCAATCAGCAAAGCAGAGAAGACCGAAGCAGATGGCGATTCCAAAAGAAGCTGAAAAAACAATTTGGTGAAGATAAAAGTTCTGGAAATAACCAACCAGAAGAGTTGCAGATTTTAGTAATTGTATCCATTGATGCCCATTCACGTCTTCTGGCGATATCGGCAAATCCAACATAGACAACCTTGGATATTAGTTGGAGAAGGAATGGGAGAGCAGATAGAACACCGTTCGATGTCAGACTCATGTTCAAGATGGTTTTGTAGTAGAGTGGTAAGTAGGTGATGGTTCCAACAGTAACATAGTTGTGTGCAAATGAGGAAGCAGCAATTGACCAGACAACTGGAGATTTTGCCAAATTTAACCATCTAGTTTTCTGTGGTCGTTTGATAGCTCGCTCTGTTGTGATGTAATGAAGCTCTTCCTTGGAAAGAACATCTTCAGCGTGGCATGGAGAATCGTGTACAACAATGTACCAAAGGACACACAACACGATTCCAAACACTGCATATGTATGGAATGCCATTGGCCATCCTAATGGAAGTTGACACAATTCTGCAGTGGCGAACATTGCGATGACCACGGAGAGTTGATTTCCAGTCGTTGCGATCGCCAGAGCTGTGGATTTCTCGTTGGCTGGGAACCACTGAGAAACGAGAACGAGCATACATGGCCAAAGAACACCCTTAAATATTGATATAGGATCAGTTTGAGCGCGGATAATCAGGATCTACTCACTTGTCCAAATCCCATCAGAAATCGTAGAAACATTATCGGCATGGTACCGAAATTGGTTGTTGATGCCACGAATGGAGTTACGAATGTTCCAAGCACATTCACAACTGCACCGTAGAACACTGTTCTTGTTGGTCCTATGTACCTATTCAAGAGCTCCGAACACAACGTGGCAACCAATCCTCCCACATAGAAAGCAGCAAAGATTATCGCTCGATCATGTGATGTCCAGTATATTGTGCCTCTCTGTAAAATGTTAAATTCTTGGTTTCGAAAACTTATAAAGTTGTAATTATGTTGTTTTCCCTCTTTTCCTTCTAACATTTCAAACTCCCGATCAAAGCTCCCCTCTCAAAAACCCTGTAATTTTCGTTTCAAAAGGTTCTCCACTCACATGTTCAACTGTTTTGTTGCCTCCAAATGTTAGTAAAGGGCATTTTTCCTCGTTGAATGACGTATTCAGACGAGAAGAAGTCGCGGAGATCATCGGCTTTCCGTCCGTCAGTGCCGTACTGTTTAGCATACAAACGATCGCCTGCAAACAAAGAAAATCGTTGATGTTTGAAACGAAAAAAAAAAAACTTTTTGGCATATGCTGTTTGATGTTTTGAGGGAAAAAACTTTAGTTTTTCGCGAAGGTTTTCTCAAGACTTTGATAATGGAAACATGTTTTGGGATCGAGGATTCCATTAAAAACACTCAGGCATCCCTGGGAAAGCTTTAGATATCACTTTTTCCTGAAATCTGTACCAGAAAGAATCCAATGAATGAAAGTCTAGATGACATCTTCTAGAAACTCCGTTTTCGGCCCACTATCTGATCGGCAGGGTAAGTCGAAAAAGAGTACATCTAGTTCTTAAGGTACATTGTTTTCAGGGGTACAGAGGATCTTATGGACATTTTTCACAGCTTTTTTCGCTGTTTGCTTCAAATTTTAGGCTTAGGCTTAAACGCCCTACATCTCAAGATCCCATGTACCCTCTGGACTCATGTCCCTAGGACATGGGTGTCACCTCGATGTACCCTTTTTCGATGTACACTTGGATCCTGCGCCCTAGTTTTCTTGGAACAAAAAAACTCACCATATTCAGATTGGATCGCATCAGTCCTTCGATGGTGAGGGCCAGTGCGACGGCCATTGCTACTCGCAATCGCACGCTTCGCACTGACCATAAGTTCGATTTTGCGCTCATGAGCCACGAGAGAGTGACGGAGCCGGACGATAGGGATGTCGGCTGAAGAAGGGAATGGATTGATTTGAAGTATGGAAGAAAGAAAAGGAGCAAGAAGATGGAAGAAGGAGATCTGGAATGAATGAGAAGATATATTTGAATGAATGAGTGGAAGAAGTGAGTGAGAATCTAGGACGAGTCACGGACGGACTGACGGCGGGTAAGCCCAATTTATAGGAGCCTGCGAAAAGTAGGCGGGTATTGGATGGAAACGAAGGGGAAGAAGAAGAAGATGTTTGGTGTTTTTGAACATGTTCTGAACCAAATTGCAGGGGAAAGTAAGAGAAAGAGAAAGAAGGAGAAAGTGTGCTCTCAGAAGTGATCGAAATTGAAAATTTCACTTAATTATGGCCTACAAAATGCATTTTTGTTTTTCGATCAACCACACCTTCGAAATAGTTTACTGTATTATGATAAGAGCTTTGATGTTTGGACTCTTTTATTTCTATTTTTCCAGAATGATGAAACCGCGATTCTAGAATAGAAAGTATTCATCCTCTTCCGATGCGGTCAATGGTGTCGGAGCGGGTGTGGTCGAAATTATTTATGATTTCTGGAAAAGAGGCGGAGTCTCTTGAAGAGACCTAGAGAGTTTGAGTTTTCTTCAGGATGCCTCGTTTTGAAATAAAATAATTGACGTGCAAATCAAGAAAATGTTAGTTCGACGACTCAATAAAATTAGATCGGAAAAAAATCTTCTAGGAAACTATTTAAAAATCCAAAAAAAGGGGAGTTGAGGGGAAATGAAAAACAAAAGTAGCGTAGACAGATAATTCTAGAAGACTTTCTTCCTCGGAATACATAGATGACGTTTAGAACAAAGCGTGGACTTAGTCGGCGGGATATGACAGGAAAATCTGGAGGACATTTTGTTTTGGCACGTCTCCAGAAGCACAGTTCAAATTCTAATGGATTTCATGAAGGTTAACAGAACTGTTGAATATATGGAAAATTATACGGAACAATTGAACAGAGATGTGAGAACAGAAACCATCGGAACAAGTACAGTACTTGACATTCAATATTTGCTGGTCGCTTCAGAAGGGTTCAGCGGGATCAAAAAATTGTAGGCAAGCTCGAAGTAGTTCTGTATTTTAACTATATCAACAAAAAACAAAAGCGGAGGCGTGAATAAAAACAAAAAGGTTGTCAGAAGACGTCAGACAGAAAAGTCTAAAAAAATACGGGCTTTATCTACCGATCGGGCTTGGTTTGTTTTCAGCTCAGCCGTTTTACAAAAAGTCCTGAAGCCTAAAAGGGGAATATTCTGTTTCAACTCCCGACCCATTCAGCTTTGACCACCTGGAGAGGACGTTGGAAACCCCCAAAAAAAGATTTTGAATCGACTGAGTATGAAACATACGCAGCCAATTAAAGTTAGAATTTCAAATGCACTATCTATATCGGTCCTTTTTTTCATGCAAGAAGAATAAATGTGTCTATGCCTGTTCTGGAAGAGTCAAACAACATACTACAGTAAGACAATCTGATTTCGTTTGAGAACGTCGTAAACCTACTTACCATCTCAATGATCATCTTTTATAAAGTCACAGATTTTGAGATTAATAAAATCCTTTTGCCTTTTCCATACTTTTTAATCCTGCATTTCTCTTTTTATCAGCATGCTTCTCCTTATAACCTTAAAATACATCCAGGTGAACCTTTCTTTTTCAGAAATCATATGTTTTAAAAAGGTTAATGGTTATCTAGGTTGATCAGTTCGGAGAATAGTCAAAGCTCACGTTCCAAAGCTCACTCATCAGTCGACACCAACCATTTGGAAGAAAAAGAAGAAGCCCGTCCTTCTTCTTCCCCCAATTACTACTGCCTTTCTTAGCCAACGACTCTCTCTCTTCACCCGATCATCGATGTGTGAGAGATTCTGATGAACCAAACATCTGTTCTCTTTTGCAATTACTACATTACGATATAGATATACTGCGAATGAATGAATGCTCAGGATTCTCGGGAGCTGTAAACAAAAAGAAAACTAAAGCGAAGGTGGAGTAAAAAGAAAAGTCTTCAGGAAGAAGAAAACGGAATTCATAATGAAAAGAGGAAACGAGAAGGAGACGAAGATGTATGATTTGTAAACGACATGTAAACGTGAGAATAAAAGTGCTGTTGGAATCTTAAAATAAAGTGACAGAGGTGGAGGAGGGGACGACGACGGAAGTGATCAAGAATTGGTCGACGGCTTCTGCCTTCCCCCCTGGTCGGTCAACGACTTCTTTCTATTTCAGTCATTCATTTCCGTGTTTCACACTCCTCGCGGATTATATTAAAGTTTCTGTGATTTAATTCAAAAACAAAGGCAGTAAGTTTTCTAAGGCGGAACTAACATATGGATACATATGGATGCATACATATGATGCTCTTTTTTCTACTTCCTCAAGTTTCAACGAAAAAAAGAAACAAGTTCGACGATGGGGCATAAATTGGGGGATGGAAGACAACTAATGAATAATTGAGAACTTCTAGGAGGGAAAAGAGCAAAATTATGTCTGGAAACTAGATGAATAGGATCTGAAAAGCGAAAAAAGGGCTTTCCACGTGACGTTATGTTGCAATTGTGTACTTTATGAAAGACGAATACTTGTTACTACAAAATGTATGTAGTTTGCATTTGGACGAATGTCAATAGAGAATACTTGGCTCGAAGCCTGAAAAAGAAACCACAGTTTTTCGAAGAGACGTTCTTATTTTTAGATATAAATAGCTTGAGACACAGTGGAGTGTCTTTAGTTTTAATTCCAGGGAATCCTTAAATCCATCTAAGCGATGAATCCATGGACCAGAAACGTGCATTTTCGAAATTTTTTTACTAAAATGCCTTTAAAATCCATCTGATGCGCTTGACGCCTAAATGTCGATTTTAAAAGACTTATTGGACATGTTAGACATGGATAAAAAAGAAAAGAAACGACCTCAAAAATCACACTACAGTAGCTTAAGGTCCAACGACCAGGCCCGTCCTCGTCTCCACACCCGAAAATAAAGTATTTCTGGTTTTTGATTTTTCGCAGCAAAAAAAGCAAATTGAAAAGATGGGGGCGGGGTCTGTGTGAGCTCTTGTTTTGTCAACAAGTCAGTTCTTCTTTCCCGGAAAATAGAAAACAAAAATGGTCAATGCATCCCTAAAAGATATAGATGCTCTTTTGTTTTGTTGTATTCGCCAGAGGACCATTTTCTGATCATTCAAAACTTGGTAACCGATCAGAAGATCCATACTACAATATATTTTGAAGATATGATCAGAAATCCATTTTGGGAATCTTCTCAGGAAGAAAAGAAAAATGGATCCAGCTCGAGTAATGAAGAGAAAAACAACAATTTTTCAGATGAGAGCGAAAAAAAAGTTTTATGAAAATGAAATACCTAACATATTATTGTTTAGTGGAGAAAAAAAGTGAATTTGTGAAAAAAGAGAGAGTTGAAAAGTCAAAAAAGTGCAATTGTTGCGCGTCGTCGCTAGTTGTGATTCTGATCTTTCCAAAGAAAAAGAGAGAATCCATTGTTCAGTCTGAGTTTCTTACTATCTCGAATTTTTCAAAAAACTTCAAAATAATATCAAAAATTTGTCATAAAATAGAAGAAGACCCTATAATTTTTTGAGTGGGCGAAAATGGGAGAAAAAGGCTTGATAGACATATCAAATTATTATTCCGAGCCACATGTCAAAGTACGAACATTCGATGGCGTGTGGTGGAAAAACAACAGACAGACTATTTGGTTTTTTGTTTTTCATAAAGGTGTTCTTCGTAATCCTTATTTAAATGAATGGAGAAATGAAATACTAAAGTAATGTTTGGCAAAGTTTTTCTAGAAAAACAAATATAAAGAGCAAATAAAAAGGAAGTGGGAGAAACCGAAGAAAATTACAGTTATTCACATGTTCATAGTATTATGAGTTCCAACTTCTATGCAGGAAGTTTGTTCTACTGTCTGTACAAAAAAATCTGGGCAACCACCTTCTTTTTCTGGGATATTTTTCTCGGAATTTTCAGATGTAATTTTTCACACTTTTTCTCATTGAAATTGAATAAAATTGAGATTTTAATGTAAAATCATCTAGAAAACATCAATTTTATCCAGAATTGCTTAAGTGCCTTCATACCTTGACGGCGATGGCTTCTTGAGGTTGCCGGTTAAAGGGGGAAAGTTCGTTCTGGTGTGCTGCTCATGTTTTCTGGATGATTTTACTTTAAAATCTCAATTTTATTCATTTTCAATGAGAAAAAGTGTGAAAAATGACATCTGAAAATTCCGAAAAAATATCACCGAAAAAGTGTGCGCCACTGTTGCAAAAAGGGGCGTATCAGGAACGCCCCCTTTTTCGGCTGCGGCGCGCCCACGTTTTATTGAACAGACAGTACCGCAATCATAATTTTGTAAATTCTCCAAAGTGAACAGGTTGCGGTAGAGCGCAATCACATTCTGAAGACCTTGCTTTCCTACCATGCAAAATCTAGATTTTGCAGGATTGGGTGTGAAAAATGCGGTTTCTTATATACTAGTAGTGCATCACATCTAGTGAACAATGAACATTACTCAGAATTGGATGTTCAATGAAATCAACAACAACTACAGTAATCTCCCCAGACCTCAAAAACCGAAATGTTCGGGCAACACAACAAAAAAGCAAGCGAACAAACAATTCGGAAGAGTTTTTGGATGAGAATTCGGAATAGAATTAGCAATTTTTAAGGGAGAAGGGATATGGAAAAAAAAGGTCTGAGCTCATATCAAAATGAAAAATGAAGTGCTAGTGTTGGTGAATCGTTGTGTTGAATTCAGAAACTGACGCTCAATGATCAGACGAACAGGACAACACACCCGGGGCTGTAAAGGACCCTTTTTCTTTGCCCAACGCTTCACAGATCAATGACCACACAATGGGGCACACATGCACAGAGAAGGAGGGAGGGAGGGAAATTTTAAGGGGCCAGAGATCTGGAAACAAAAGGGACAGATGTGGAAAAAAACACGCAGACGGGTCGTCGTCGTTGTGAGTAATTTTCCTTCCCTGTTCATTTTGCACTGCTCCATTTGATACATTTTAGTTGTGTTGGAAGCGGAAAAAATAACGGAAAAAAAGAAAAAAGAAAAAGAATAAAAGAAGAAGAAGCAGGAAATTGGAGAGTCGGGCTCCCGTAGAGGACAAGCAAGAACACCTGCATCTGACAAGTCACGCTAAGTTCACACTCTGAGTCAAGAATCATCGGAAGCAGGAAGAAGAAAAAATGTATCACT